TCAGTCTTGGGGTACGTTTTGACGTGCTCCAGTCGTGGCGGCTTCGAACCAAGGATGAAGGTCTTCAAGCGAAGACTATCGAGCATCGCGGGGGTTGAAGTGCTGAGAACCTGATCCACCGAGTTGATGATCGTATCGCAAAGAACGGGAGCGTAGATGGGCCAGAACTTGACCAGGAAACTGTTGATCCATTCCAAACTTTCGGTGTCCGTTTCCAGTCGTTGCTTCGCCATTTCACGATTCACATCGTCTCGGAAGTTTCGACGAACACGCCGAATCGAAGTCCGGTAGTAGGTACTGCAAGCGGCCATGATGATAAATACCCAGGCCAGTCCGCCGCCCAGCACGGCAACGACCCAGGATGCGAGACAGGCGAAGACGATGACACCGGCATTATGATACCAATCTAGCCCCAGCGTTAGCTCCGTCACTCGTACACGCGTGAGGATCGGCTGCAGTCCTTACCTCCGAAGAATTTATCATCCAGTTTTCCTTCCAAGAGTGTTTGGTGATCTAGCAGGGTTCCCTCTTCTTTCTCCTCTTGGGTCGGCTGGTGTTCGAACTGTGGGGCCCAGCCCGTCCGGTCGCGTGCCCATCGCAAGTCTTCCTCCGAGGAAGCCTCTCCATTGGTCTGCGCTGTCGCATCTTTCTCATCTTCCTTCAGGATGTCGGTTGCGGATCTTGGAGGGGGTAAATCGTATTGGTCGGGAGTGCCGTCATCCTATGTAGCGTGTGTGTTAAGTCAACTGCTTCATAAACGTAGGATGCTGCAAAAATGACCAAACTCACCTTATCCGTGATAACAGCGACGCCTGTTGGTTTATGCTCGTGGTGAAACCCGGGGGGCAGCCGCTGCGAACGAAGACACCTGTCAGTTACCGGAAACCCTGTCGATTGAGAAATGAAGGGGATCTTACAGCTCTAGCGGCAGCGGCTTTGGCCTCGGGAGACGCATCCGGGTCGAACTGGTAGGCTGGTACGCCCGCCTTCCGGGTCTCTTCGACTAGAGTCTTCTCAACATCCTCTGCGCGAATATCGGACTGCGGATCTTGTGCGGCATTCTGGGCCACCTCAATGGCACCTTGTTGCCGCAATTCGTTCTTGCTGCCTTCTACGTCTTGCGACGCCATGGCTTTTAGAGGAAGGGGAGATGAGGAGATAACCTCGGGGAGGGGGATGGTGAAAGGTCACCTATAGCTTGAGTCCCCAAGTGGCACAGTCTGATTATATAAGTCAATTGGGAATCTGTTCGGTTGTAGCGTATGGTGGGAAATAGTGGTAAAAGAAAAACACTGTAGAGAGGAAAAAACAGAAAATGAAGCGGGGGGGGGGGGGGGGAATTGACAGAGCGAAAGAAGCTCCTGTCAATGGGAGTGAAGCGAGTTGCTGGCGCTCGTCCTTTGAGTGGTTGCCTTGGCCTCCGCGGCGGGGAGGTGGCTGAAGCAGGAGTGGACGGCAGCGGCAGCAGCAGCTGCTGCTCGGGAGAGGAGCTCCTCGGTGAAGCTGAAGGCTGGTAGGAGGTCCACTAAACCCCAAACCCAACCCAATTTTCTCAGGAACAACCAGCAGGATACGTATCAGGAGTTGGGGGAGTTGAGGAAGGGGTAGAGGGGGCAGGTGGGGAGAAATATTGGAAAAAGAACGAGGAGGGGGAAAGAGAATTAAATTAGACTTGCTTACCTTAAATTGAGAACTGGGATGAAAGAATCGAAGTTGGAGAGGGGGAAGTAAGTTAGTTACATAGGTAAAGGAAAGAGGGGAATATCGAATGATGAAATATGGAATAAGAGTAGGAATAAGAGTAGGAATAGGAATAGGAATACGGGGGAACCTCACAATGGCAGCACACAAAAGCGGCCGGCCGCGGCGGTCATGATTGACTGATTGACGCCAATTGCTGGTTGATGACGAGGAGAAGATACGGAGTCCGGAGGGTTCCAGCGCGAACGGATTCAATTCACAGCGGAGCCACTTGCGTCAGAATAGGCAGGCAGGCAGTTGGTCGGGTTGTTCTACAAGTACTTCAGTTCAGTTATCGGCTTTGTTGTTCTTCTGCTAACAACCAACCAACTGACTATTTCTTGTTACAACCACTACTCCTATACCTTTGTACATCCTCTTTTACTTTGTTATTACTGTGAATGAAGCTTTCCAGCTTCCCCCCCTTCTGGTCAAAACCCGCTCAATCTCCATTGAACCACCAGATCTGGTATAAAAAAGGAAAAGTGCCAAAGACCTAGGAACCCACCAGCTCCGGAAAAGGAAGCGCGCCGATCAATGAAAGAGAAAGAGAAAAAAAAAAGATAAAAAGATAAAAAGGATCCTCTTCCACTCCAGCCTCCCCACATTTATTTAACCAAACTTCCAGCCGAAGAAGCTCTGAGCAAGAACCATTCCACGAGGCACAGGATTTTTGATGAGTGATGAGTATCTCCGAGGGACTGAGTACCTGATCATCTTCAAACCAGAATCTGATTGTTCTTCTTGCGAAAAGTCATGAATGAGAACTGAACTTATCCGCTTTCCACTCCCCATTTAGACTACATACTGTCTGCACTTGGACTAGTTGACGCCAGCGTCCCGATCTATTGGAAAGGCCAGCACCGCCACAGATCGGGCGCCGCCACAAGTTCTCGCAACTCCGCTCCGTATCTTTTCCATGTCCATAATTGATAATTCCGAACCTCTCGGGCTGTCCCCCTCCCCCCTATTCTTGATTGGATTTCAGGGGACCCTCCACATCAGAGTGGGCTCAACAATGGTCAATCCAAAGTTCCAAACCAACAAGTTCAATTTAATTTAAGCAATTTCTTGTTCTTAGCAAGAATAACCGAGGAATCCCGATGCGTACCCTGGACGAGCCCTAAGACGTCGCCCTAACCGAATTGGGTAGTATAACTGGACGATAACGAACGAACTGACCAAGCACTCACCATTCCCATCACTGATTACTGTGACACCGCCTGCATTGCATTGGAGTCAAAATGAAAACTCAGAATAATAATATCATCTCCAAAACGCCCAAGCCTGCCAAGGTCCAGCGACTGGCGGCACAAAATCGCCGGAATAATGTGGATGCCTACTCGTCACTGAGTGCCGGTCACACGTGTCAGGACAAGTTACGACGTACCTCTGGTTATCATCCCCGACAACATGGCTACCGAGTATCTCAACAACCACCAAGAAGTAACAATATTCTAGCCATAATGACTGTCGAGGATACCCATATCCCCTCCCAAACCTACAAGTTTCCAACCTCCTGCTCAAGTAGTCAAGGTGAAACGCCGTCAGGCCACCGCTACGCAATGCGCGGAGATCTGATCAACCCCGTCGTAGTCGATCGCAGAGGCTCCATCTTCCCTTTCAACACCCAATGACTGCGGCCAGAACATAAGCTTTGAAGCTGACCAGTCGAAAGTACCGATCTAGCGCATTCAGTTTCGCATCCACGTCATGCTATACTGCACTCTACAGTACTTGATCGTCGTTCTACTGTTCTACTGAGTATGTGCAGTACGGAGTACTGGACAGTACAATGGACGTCCTGTGCTCACCTCCGGCCATCTGCCAGCCAGGACTCGAATTGAACCACAATTGCAGGGCGAGTACGGAGCTCTCTCTCTCGGAAATCAAAACCGTAAGACACACCCACCAAGATCAGATGTGTGAGCACTGAAAACACTAAAGCACGTTCCCAACCTTCTCTTTTCCTCCTAGGCTCCTACCGTCCCCTACGTACTACTCAGTATTTACCAGCCACAGCCCCTCCACTCCCAGATCCTCAGTAGATGTAAATTCAAGTACAATAGGATAGATCAACACCAACCCATCAAGCATAAGACAAACACAACACAATCCCACCTACAATATACACACCACCACTTTCAATCAAAACCACACCAACACCCATCATGCAACCACCCTCCGACATCTCCGACATCCAAGGCCGTGTAACTTTTGACAGTATACGGAGTACTCTACAGTACTTGTGACTTTCTGTTTATTGTTGATTTACTTACCTAACACACCCCTTGGGAAGGGACTCCTCCACTCCACTCCACTTCGCTCGCTCAGCCCGAACTTCGAAGTTTGCCACCAAGATCATCTCAGCTTGACTACGGCCGCCCTTTTTCAGCCCTGAAATTCTTGTCCCTCCCCCCCGTCCTCAGCCCCGACCTCCCGAGATGTACTAGGTACGGTGTAGTAAGTATGTTCATGTTCCAGTCCACCCACCCACGGTTCCCGAGTCCATCCCAATCCCACCCGATAACTGATTCCCGCATATACATAAAACTGCACTCGGTCTGAATCAACCCTATATATTCTCCAATTGAAGTAAACACGGAAACCTCGAGTGGGAAACAACCTCCCTCAAAAAAAAAAAAAAAAAAAAAAAAAAAAAAAACGATCCCGTAAAAAAGCCGAGGTCGGACATCCAACGAAAGGTCAAACTCAATGGACAACAAAGTTCGGCAGTGAGAGAGAGTGTGTTTGAACTTAACTCCGTAGAATGTATATAGTATTCGTGCGCCCGCCCGCCCGCCCGCCCGCCCGCCCGGACGGTCTGGCCTGGTCTGGTGGCCTAGATGGTTGTGTGGTCTGTCTGACCGAACTGCCCTCTCTGCCTGAAATCTCCAAAACTGCTGTACAGCCCGTGGCGCATAAGTTACGGGTCATCATTCAACGATGAGTACTAGTATTCTAGGGTAACGGAGTCGCCTACCCCCGTGGTCCTGGAGGGGGGTTTGAATGTCCGAATGAAATCCTCGTATACCGAGCGGTCGCAGCTGGCCAGCGGAAAGCCAATTGCAGACAAAGGATACGGTGCGAATGTCCAGCGGAGCACAAAATGAATATCCAGGATACATCGCCCACTCAACGGTTCAGTTGGTGCTTGCTAACTATTATATACAGTACCAGAATGGAGTAGAATGCCATTAGAAATACACATCTCAAAGCATGTCATTTCATCGATCTGATATCAAATGCATCGTCACTGCCGTAAAATAACGACGAGAAAAAAAAATACATCAAGAGGGCCCCGTAGAGAACGCTTTTCATAACAGATTAAATAATAACCGCAAGTCACAAATTTCTCCCATCCGTGTCTCCGTCATCACTGCCTCCTTCCACTACTCCACTGCTGGCTTGCTCACCGACCCATGCGGATGACGCCGGCGGCCATCAACTTCTGGATCTTCATCCGCACCTGGGAGTTCTTCATGTGCTCCTGGAGGGCGGCGGGGTCGCTCTTGGCTTGCTGGAGGATGGTCTGCATGATAGGGTCCTGCAGGATGGACATGATCTATGGATTGCATAGTTAGCCACAGGGTCCCACTGATATTGTCAGGTAGATAACTCACCTCGGGGTCGTTCTGGATTCTCTCCATCGTCTGTTGCTCGGTCTCGCCGGCACGGGCGCTGAACTGAGCGTCCAAGCACTTCTGCTGCTGCTGCTCGATCTCCCGAGCGTGAGTGCCGTCGTCGTGCTCCGAAGCTTCCGTGCAGACATCCAGAGCCTTGTTGTACTCCTTCATGGCAACCAAAGCCTGCGCCTTGCGCATGTACGCCCGAATGAACTTGGGATCCCGCTTGGTTGCTTCGTCACAGTCCTGCACAGCCTGGGGGAAAGCCATCAGCTTGATGAGGGCCGCAGCGCGGTTGGAGAACCCGCGGGGGTCCTCGGGGGCGCGCTTGGTCATCTCGGTGAAGGCATCCACGGCGGCGGGCCAGTCACCCTCCTGGAACTTGGCCTGGCCGAGTTCGCGGGCCTTCTCGGCCTCGGCAGGGTCGACGTAGGCCTCCTTCTCAGCCTTGGCCTTGGCCTTCTCCGCGTTGCGCAGCTTCGTGAGAACATCGGGAGTACGGTGCTCAGTCAGCGCCTTGTGGTAGAACTCGATGGCCTGGCCGAGGTCGCCAAGCTTCTCGTATGCGGTACCGATACGCGCAAAGGCCCTACATTCACGGACGTCAGCCACGGTTAGATGCAAAATCAGACGGAGGATCCTTACTTGGCAATGGCCTTGAAGTCGGCTCTGAGCTCACGACCCTCCTCGACAGCCTTCTGACAGGTCTCGATGGCACCCTGAAGATCGCCCTTCTCGAACTTGGCGGCACCGAGGTTGTTCAGGTAGGTGATGTCCTTGTGCAACTCCCAAGCCTTGCTGTAGTGCTCAATAGCCTCATCAAACTCTCTCTTCTTGTAGAAATCGTTACCAAGCTTCTTCTCGGCATCCGCGGCTTCCTGAGCCTTCTTCTTCTCGAGGGCCTCCTCATCCTCAGGCTCGGGCTCCGGGGCGGGCTCGGGCTCCTTCTTGGGAGCAGCGGGACGAGCATCGGGCATAGGCACATCCTCCTCAGCCTCCTGCGCAGCGCTAGAGGAAGCAGCGGCCTCCGCCGGGGGAGCTCCAAAGTTCATATCGATACCCAGCAACACACTCATGACCTGCAAGAAGCGGGGGTCGCCGATCTCTTGACCGATGTCGTTGGGGTTCTGCTGCAGGCGCTTGAGCTTGGCCATGAAGTCGGCATCGGCCAGCAGGGGAGCGGTCTTGGGGTTGCCGGCGAGCTTCTGGAAAAGCTGAGGATCGTTGAACATTCCACCGAGTCCTCCCATGGGATCGCCCGTCACACCGTCGGCCTGGGCTTCGGCGTCGATGGCCCTCTTGACAGCGTTGAAGCCGTTCTTAGCCTGGTCGTTGGTGGGCTCCAGCTTCAGAGCCTCTTCGTATGCGTCGTGGGCAGCCACTGGATAAGAGACCGTTAGCAGCGGCAAAGCACCGAGTGTGCCATCCGACACGCTTAGGGGGTTAACTCACGGAGATCGCCCAGACCGCGGTAAGCAGCACCCTTGCGGATCCAGCCCTTGGACCAGTCCGCCTTCAAATCCGTAGCCTTGTTGGCATCCTCGAGAGCCTTCTGGTATTCATGTTGCGCGGAATATACAGCGGAGCGATTGGAGTAGAGGATGTGGTTGGAAGGCTCAACTTCAATAGCCTGGGAGAACTTCTCACTGTGAAGATGTCAGTGATCAGGTTTACTAGAGATGCTCCAGTCATCGCTGGTCCGAGTTTGATTGCTTTATTTTCAAGTATTTTCGAGCGGGGTAGAATACGGGACCAAAAATACGTACATAGCAGTAGGATAATCCTTTGCAGAGAAGGCCTTGTTGCCCTCTGCTTTCAAAGCGTCAGCCATGTTGTAAGACAGGTGACAGTAGGTTTGGGGGGGGATAAGAGGAATAAGAAAGAAGTGAGGGTGGAAGAAATGAGGGATGATGGTTCTGGGGGGGGGGAGGAGGGAGTTGAGAGCCGCCGGGGGAGCCAGTGCCAGTTTAAACTACGGCCTGAGCTCTGCCGGGAGCTTCTCGAAATTTCCGCTACAGTACGTACTTACAGCCTCAGGCCACAATAAGGCAGAAACAGCTGTCACTTGTGTTGGTTAGTGTTAGCCTGAAGCCTCAGGCCTCCATGCATGTGAGGCCAAGCCCGAAAGAGAAAGAAAGGCCGCCCAAAAACATCTTCTTTTTCCCGCCGTCATCGAATTGTTCTTTTGCGCTCATTCCTTCCAGTTAATACTTGGTACTTATTATTGAAAGCTAGCTTTTCACAGTTGGGGACTTGAACTGAACTTCTCCCCGCCCACCTTTCTTCAACCAGTCCAAAAACAAAAACCCCCGGCGCGCGCTTCTGATCATGCCCTTCCATAAGCCTTTCCGGTGATAGTTTCCTTCCAACACAGTGTGTGAGACATTTCGGACAAGATCTCGCCCTCACCTTTTCCCCGCCGCGCCCACCACCGCGAACTACAACCCTCTCCCACTCCCCAACACTCCCGAAATCGGATTGAACCGTCGCAAACAATGGCCTCCTCAGCTGGCTCTTCAGTGAGCGAGCTTTGCGCCCGACTCTACGATGCCTGCTTGAGAAACTTCCCGTCCGACCATCTCTTCTACCAGCAAGATCTCCTCGGACTGGGGATCGTCCCCAAGAATGACCTCGCCCTCCTCCTGCAATGCACTCAATCGCTCGTCGACCAGAAACTGCTCCGCCTGCTCCAGGGGAAGAATGATCGATTGGCGTGGAAGATTATCTCCCGGGAGGATGCAGAGAAGTATGAGCCCTCCCGAATCCGGCAATTGAATTCGAAACTAACACGAACGAACCGCCCGCAGACTGCAGAATCTCAGCCCCGACGAGAGTTTAGTCTACAATGTCATCCACTCGACCGGGCGGTCCGGCATCTGGGTACGCGCGATCGGCACGCGCACGAACCTGCACAAGTCGATCCTGGACCGGTGCCTGAAGTCGCTCGAAGGGAAGAACTACATCAAGAGCGTGCACAATGTCAAGTTCCCCAGCCGGAAGATGTACATGCTGGCGGGCTTGGCCCCCAGCGAGGACGTGACGGGCGGGGCCTGGTTCACGGACGGCGTGCTGGACGAGAACTTCATCAACAGCGTCGCCGGGTTCATCGAGTGGAAGGTCAGCCAGAAGAGCTGGTACGAGGTGCCCGCCGTCCACCATCGCAACAACAAGCGCCTCAAGACCGCAGACGGGAATGGGATCATCAGTCACAACCCGCACGACACCGACGCCCAACCGCAGAAGGAATACATCCCCTTCCCCGCCGGGTATCAGGGCTACCCGACCATCCCCGAGCTGACGGCCGCCGTCAACGCCAGCGGCATCACCCCCGTCCGACTGGGCGAGGAGAGCATCACCCAGCTCCTGGAGATGCTCTGCTACGACAACAAGCTGGTCGCCCTCAACAACGGCGAGGTCTACCGCTCCGTCAAGACCCCCGCACAGGTCAAGTCGCAGCAGGCGCGCAAGCCCCCCGGCGAGGACTCTGGCATCGACGACCGTCTCGTCCGCAACGGCATGACCGAAGCCCCGTGCGGTCATTGTCCGGTCTTCAAGCTCTGCGCGCCCGGTGGAGCCGTCAGCCCGGAAAGTTGCGAATACTTCGATCCCTGGTTAGAAAAAGCCCTGGGATTTTGAGAGAAGAGAGAGTGTGAAAATAAAGCAGTGATCGGTTACTCTTCCATCTCTCCCGTGTGCATGGCTTAACTTCGATCTATACCTCTTACCTCTTTTTCCTTCACCTCCCATTTTTTCTTCTTTTTTTTTTCCATTTCTGTTCTTGGATTATTCCCCCACCAACACATCATTTATCAAACCACTTTTCATCATACCTCACCCGACTTACTGTATACCAGTCTTTTTGCGCATCCATAAAGAAAGGGGACACCTAGCTCTTACGCTGAGGCTGGGCGATGATCTTGTTTTGCTTTTGCTTTTGCATAGCGATGGCGTCTTTTGTGTTAATTATTACTTTTCTGCTTGTGTCTCCACACTCCAGTGTCTGATAGTGGGTGTGGGACGAGGGGGCCAGAGTCAGATGTCGATGCATGGTCTGTCTTTTTGTCTTTTGTTCATCAACAAGAGGTCCTATACTCCGAATATAAATTCGAGGCAAAAGAAGTCGAGGGATAAGAATCAATCCTATCTACATGTTTCCAGTACCCACTACCCACGACGTCTATCTTCGTATCTCTAGGTGAAGCCGCTGAGCACCGGGATGGATGCATTTATCCCTAGGTTTGCAGCCCATGATACTAAGACCCCGGCCCGAAATTGTAGATCAGCTTGATTTGATCCCAGGTATGTAGTCAAGCATACCACCTACCGCTTGATGCATGTTGCTACATAAACAAGCATAACACCTCCAAGCCCACGGAACTAATCACATATTCCATCAAGGGCTACTAAACCTTAATTCCACGACTTAAAGACTAAGTAAGAAAGTAAAAGGGTATAAAGACAACACCCAAACACCGAAAGCAGCCTCCAAGAAAAAAAAAATCACGCCCCCAATTTCGCCGAACACTGCGGACAATACCACTTGCCCACGGGCTCCCGGGTCAGCCCGACACACTTCCAATGGAACCACTCGAACTCGCAATCCTCGTTGTCGCACGCCACCATGTCGCCATGGCTGACGCTGCGACACGTGCAATACACCTTGGTATCCTCGTTGCCCTCATCCTCGTCCTCCTCCTCGTCCAGATCGTTCTCCCCGCCGCCGCCGCCGCCGCCGCCGCCCACCCCGGCGCCACCGCGGAGGTCGGCATGTTCCGAGTCGGACATGTCGGCGCTGCTGAGCAGGGAATCGTCCTCGTCGTCTTCACCACCACCATGACCACCGGGTCCAGTCGCCGAGGACGAAGGGGAGGATTTCTTGGTGATTTTGAGGCGGCCGCTGGCGCTGGAGGATCGCTTGCTGTGTTTCCCGTTCAACCCGCTGCTGCCACCGCCGCCACCGCCGCCGCCTCCGCTGCCGGTCTTGAGTTTCTTGAGCTGCTGGTGTGGCGCGACCTTCTTCGTGAGGGCCTTCTTCGTGGTCGAGGCGGAGCTGCGGGGCCCGGCGCTGCCGGCGCGGCTGGAGGCGGGCGTGCCCCCGCCTTTCGGGGTACCGGGCCCCAGCGAGGATTGACGGAGGTTGGAGGACGCGGCGGGGAGGGTGCCCAGGGAGGCGTTCAGCCGGCGGCGCTTGTTCTCGACGGCGCCGGCGGAGGATTCGCGCTGGTGCCGCTGCTGGAAGTGCACGGTGCCCGACGGGGTGGCGGGGGCGGAGGAGCGCGCGGCGGACGGGGAGCTCAGCATGGCGGCGGCCGCGGCGGCGGTCGAGGCGTTCCGGCCGAGGGACTGGTTCAGGCGTTGGGTTGCGCCCAGGATGAGGTTCGCCGCGCCGCCGGAGGCGGAGGCGGACCCGCCGCCGCCGTTGGTGGCGTGTGCGGTCGGGGATGAGGATGCAGCGGCGGCCGCGGCGGCGTCAACGGTGGCGTCCGGGAAGAAGATGCGCGGGGGGTCGCGGTATTGGTCTTTGTTGTTGAAGAGGGAAGGGAGCGGGGGGTCGTTCGAGAGCATGCCGTTGCTTTGGAGTTTGTGGATCGCGATGTCCAGGCGCTTGATCTGTCGGTCCAGGAGGACGCAGGCCTTTTCGCTGAGCTGGATCTTCTCGTCTTGCAGGAGTTGCGATTTGTCGAGATTCTGGAGGATGGTCTTGCTGTATTGCTCCTCCTTCGGGTTGGGCGTCAGGCTGCCGTTGAGCTTGATGAATTTCTGCAGACTGGTGTCGCGCGAGTTGATGGTCGTCCGGCATTCTTGGATGGTCTTGTCTTTGGCTTGAATCTCCTCCATCAGGTGATTGATTTCGGCGGGCAGGTTGGCCACATCGTGCACGAATTGTTCGAGCACCGTGGCGGGGTCCTCTTGTAATTGCGACATCCTTCACGCTGGCTGCCCCCGGTCTCAATGCTGAAGCACAGTTGGATGCTGTAACTTCAGCACCGTGTGCTCACTGTGATCGGGAGGTTGCGGTTCGTGGTGCTAATACTGTAATGCGTGATTCGGTGCTGGTGTGGTTGATCGAGACGACAGCGCAATGGGAGATCGATAGTCGCAAGGGATTCGGAAAGTTCAGGATGCTTCGTTGCTTATCGATAGAGACACGCCGCCGGAATTTCGATGTTCCGTGGTCGAAAAAGGCTGATTACTAAGAGGTAAACACCATGAGAGTTGCAGCTGTGTGCTATTTCTTATATACTTCCAAACCACTATTCTAGTGTTGACAAAAGTTCTAGAGCAGAGATATGCAGAAGAATGAAGTACTTGATACCCATTAGTGTATTATACCAGCTGGCTGTTCGAGCCAAAAACAGGTACGTAGTCTTTAGTATACAAGAAGAAAAGTACCGAGCGATTAATGCCGGCCCCATTAACGTATTCCTGATACGCTTCCTCAAGTGGTAGGATTCCACTTCCACGACTCCTCCTCTAAAAAGAAAATTTCATCATCTAGACAATGAAAGAGTCCTTAGCCACAATGCGTCTCGCTCATGCCATAGTGATGCAACACAGCAGCATAACAAAAACCGCTTCGCTATGCTAATTCTGGATGAACTTGACTGCATGCACGAACGTGTACAGAACCAATGAAGCGACGGGAAACAAAGTGTATAAACGAAGACATTAGGTGGGTGAAGCGACCGGAGAGCGCAGCCACCCCGGCACGTCAAAATATCGAAAAACTAAGAGTATCTTCCAAAGACACAAGTTTGGGAGGAGCCTGCCAAATCCTGACTGAATCGAACTGTAAAGAAGTAGAGATGAAGGTCGCAGCCTGATAGATGGTAAGACGCGTCAAGGACAACATCCTTGAGGGCAGCTGCTGAGCCCAGAGTGGAAGTTACCATCCTATGGATGTCCATCATACCCTGCCGGATTCAACTCTTGCTACTGGAATACCCTGAGTCCTGAGGCGTTATGAGGTCGCTTGCAATGCCGCTGTTGAGTTTGATTGAGTGTTGAGCGCAGGCGTATCCGACCAGGACGACCTTTTCCTGAACCGAGTGGCCGCGCTGACCGTAGGCTTCACACGGGTCAACCGCGTGCTGGAAGTAGAGACACCGGCAAGCTGCGAATCGCTCCACGAGTTTGTAGCACATGATGACTGAGTATTATGGTAGTGGGTAATCAATTGAAAGACGTAGGTGGTCTAGAACAAAATGGCGGATCTAACGTCCTGCGTGCGCTGCGATATGTGTGAAAGGAAGGCAGACGATAAACCGATCAAAGAATGGTAGCTAATCGCACGACGCGACAGCTGACAGTGACTTCGGTGCGATTGACAACGGTGGCCTGCAGTATGGTTGAATGAAAGAATCCTGACTGTTTAGGCTACCCAGGAGCATGTTCACAGAAAGGACTCAATCATAAGCGGATGCAAAGATCAAGAAGAGTTGACACTGCCGAGAAAGCACAACCCGGCATTCTAAGTTGTTTTCGATAACGCACAGAGGACAACAGTAGACTCCAATGCGAGGGGTCCATAAACCGAGACCGCGGCCGTTAATGGATAATTGCTTGAGAGCTCTTCGAGCCGACCTGTTCCATCACGGGGGATATTGAAGATGAAGAACAAGAAGGTTACAAGCGAAAAGCAGAACCGTCAAGGTTAAACAAGAATTGGTGGAGCCACAGGGGAAAGAGCACTGAGGGATGGTAGCATGACCGAGAAGAAGGGTTGGAGGGGTGGGCAGGAAAGCAAGAAGAGAAAAGGTGGGAAGGAAAGGGAAGGGAAGGAAAGGAAAGGAAAGGAAAGAGTAGAAGAAGAGACGGACGGAATGATAGAATGCAGGCGAAAAACAAGCGTGCAGATTGGTGGTCGAGTCCCCAGGTAGGCCGGCCTCATAGGGCAGAGTGCCAGAGGTGAAAGTAGTCGATCAGTGGGGAGGGGGAGACAATTCCCGGTCAGGCTGAACCTCACGGACCAGCTACGTATTACTCGTAGGTAGTGTGATCCACCAGGTTCAGCTGGAACACCTTGTTCCTCAAGAGCCAGAGCATCATTTTCAATGGGACGGGTGTTCTCCGAAAGAGGGGAGTGACCGGCCGTAAGGCTGCAGGATATGCAGGACGACAAGCAGCCCCGTTTCTCGATCAAGCCTGCCGGGGATTGGACCAAGCAGGTTTGGTAGATTGACCATAAGCGATGTCCATTGCTCGGTGATAATAATCAAGTCAGTTTTGGTGGGGAAAAACCGAGTGTTGAACCGGCTGATGGAATTAGTCGTACTAGTGGAAGAGCAGTGGAAGAGCAGTGGAAGAGCAGTGGAAGAGCAGTGGAAGAGCAGTGGAAGAGTGGAAGTAGAGTGGATAAAAACCATGGCGTAGGGCTGAACTCGGCAAGAATAGAAACAGAACGTGCCCGTCCGCCGTCAATTGGCCTGCTTCTTCTGTCCCGGCACCAGTTCAGCCACCGTATCAGGCAACAATCTTCTCAATTCATGGTTCGTGGATCCATCATCCATTCATTACCTGGTATCCTTCAAAATCATTCTCGGAATATCGGAATGCTTCCTCGCATCCCCTTATTGAATGTGTTATTTATAATTATCATATTTTCCCACTCTTATTATTATTATTATTATCATTAATTGATGAACCTAAGCTTCTTCATTGTGGTGACTAAAAGAAAGCTTCGTACTCCCTACCAAAGGAAGACTAAGGGGTCCTGGTTCGCTATGCAATATGAGGTAATTTCTGGACCTCGCTGTAGGGCTGACCGTCCAGATGAGCAAACCTGGCACAAAACTGGAGCTGCAATTCGCCAGGCGAGACTGTTCAAAAAGTTAATGTCCTGGGGAAACAATGGCCCTGGCCGCCTCAATGAAGTCATTACACCACACAGTACGGTATTTTACATCAGGTGTCGAAATTCTGTGGCTGTTTGTGGAAGCCATCAAGGTACTGTACCACCACCGGATTGCCGTGGATACTCGGTGCTACGGTTTTCGCAATTTCTTATATTATCTCCTCAGCTCATCTCAACTACCAAGCGATACCTCCTATAAATGGTTACGCGCACCATCGATTGCAGTCATAAAGTAGGCATTGATAAGTTAGACCATCAAATCATCACTTCATCATTCATGTCCCGGCTCATCAATGTAATGCTTGTCAGGACATTGGTGGAAAGGCCTTGCCGGGACCACTCATCCTATCGTCGTTCCATCCGCCTGGCTATACTGCCGTTTCTAGTAGAGAGCGGATATTTCCGTTGTTCTTCACTCCTGACCACCACTCTCACAACAACCTCAACTTTCTTTCCTCTTTCTTCAATCCCCACCTACTGTCTCCTTTTCACCCCCCTTCGACGAGGACACTCCTCGCCTCCCTCCAACCACCACCTCCACTGCGAAGCGAGACCGGCTCGTCCGTAGCAGAGCCCAGAGTCTGGCACTGTCCCCTGAACTTCTCTCTCTTTTTCTTTTTTTTTTTTTTTTTTTTTTTGTGGGTTTTCTGTGAGCCTCTTCGAGTGCCAGATCTGTGGTCCACGTTGCCCCGTCCCAGGGGCAACATGTTATACGGTTCATTTTAGTATAAATCGGTCCGGTCCCAAACCAAAATGAGTAGTCTGCTCCGCGTCACGCTGCCAGCACACCATCAGGGATACAATAACCGATCCTGACAGTGCGCGTGAGTTGATCGATGAGAATCAACATTATCCCTTCATCACCTCACAGACAATGACATTATCTCCGGACAACAATTCCCTGCCTTCTGACGGCACTCCGGGCCCGTCTGTACTCCTCATCACTGTCCTCCGACTCGGAGCAACTCGCCTCCGAGGACTCGGTCACATACCCGCAGCGACTGCCTCCACAGTCGAGCTTGACACGGTCTCCCTTGCGGGTGATCCCATAGCGCTCACACCGGCAGATCGGGGTCGGGGGGTCACTCATGGAACTGAGCGACGAGGGAGAGGTACTGCCCGAGGAGCGGGACGACAGCGAGCTGCCCGCAGAGCTGGGCGGGCTGTTGGAGAGGGAGTACTCATCCGAGAGACGGGATCCCGCAAACCGCCGGGTCAGATCGTCCATGGTGGGAGGCCCACCGACAAAGTCGGTCTCCCGGATCTGGCGAGAGGCGTAGGGCTTGGAGGGCTTGGGGTGCTGGATCTTGGATGGCGAGAGAGCCCGGCCCTTGACCACTTCCGAGACCGCCGAAGTCCGACGGTGGCTCTTGCTAGGGGCTGAGGAAGAGCTGGAGGACTTGCCGCCGGGAACATCCAGGATGTTGAGTTTGCGGCCAGTCGTGGGCTCCACCGTATATTCAATAGCAGGGTCATGGGAGACGTGATAGCCATCCATGATATACTGTAGTGAGTTAGTCAGTAAGGTGTGTCATTAGAAGAGAAGGAAGCAGGATCACCGACGTAGTACCAGTACCGGCCACCCAACTTGAGCATGGAAGTCTGGAAGCGGAACTTGCCCACCCACGAGCCGGACTTGTTCTCATCGCGCGAGAGGGGGATCTGGCGGGAGTAGTTGTCCCACGAACCGACCAGGTGGACGGTCTTGACATTGGAGGAGGTCCGAAGAGAGAACTTGAGCTGAACGGACGACATTATGGCGATAGTATGCAATTGAATCGAACCAGAATTATACTAGAAGATTAGATTATGGTAGAAAGGAATATAATAAATGATCGTGTCGACGATGGCGGTGCTAATGTTGTTGGGGCGAAGTGACTGCCAGAGTCAATTCGATTCAGCCTCGTGCTGCGGCGGATTGCTGAGCGGTTGGTTCGTTGGCTGTGCAAGACAACAAAGCGTTAAGCTTGACGGGGATCCAGTCCTCGACACGTAAAAAAGGCAGAAAGAAGATTAAGTTGTAAGGCGAGCAAGTTTGTCTGAGCTGGAAGCAAATCGGGAACAAAAACTATTGTCGACCGGCGACAATGTATTGAACCGTTGGAAGTTTGTACAGTTTAGAAGTATCCTGTGCGAATTGAAGCAAGACAACAAGGGAACATCCAGGAGCACAGCTCTCGGATGGTTATGGGTTTTTTTTGTTTTGGTAGGTGGGTGATATTAAGGGAAGTATAAGATGAAGATGAAGATGAAGATGAAGATGAAGATGAAGAAACAACAAACAAGCAAGTGCAACCAGTGCACAAGATACTTCCAAAACCACAGGCAGAACAGACAAGACTAGCTTGCTGAAGAAAGAAAAGAAGAAAGGGAAAAGAAGGGGAAGGCCAACGAGGGCCCGGCGGGTAAGAAGGCTCTTTTATGAGGGAGGAGTCCATTACTCAGTACGGAGTACTAGGTACTGAGTAGGTAGGTAGCCTCCTGGAGGAGGTAGGTAATTACCTGCACTACTGAGGAATAGCGACAGTCCGTCCACGGTCACTCTGTCACACCCCAGCAGCGGGTAAGTCCAGGGTTCGATTGGCCTGCGCCGCCAGCCCGTCTCCGAGCCTTTAGCCATACAGAAGCCATTGCTTGCCGCCCAGCCAGCAACCACTGCCAGCCTCTCCAACCTATAACAACCTATAACATTCTCCTCCATCACCCTCCTCTGCACTATCGTCACCCATCACTCACAACATGGAGGTTAAAGTTCACCAGACCGAGGAGGGGAAGCCCAGAATAGACTTATAGAGGGTCAAAGTCTGCTCCCTCACTGGTGGATGCCTCAATGCCTCTCACCCATCACTACACCCGTCTCCATTATCACGGACAGCCCGGGTGGGGGGGACTGCATGACGAAGAGGGGGAATATGCAGACGTGCATGCCATGGGCACACACATCCTTCACCTACACCAACACGGCTGATTATTGATTCGGCTCCAATGCCACCATTTATTCAGTCAAGTACAGCAAAGTATATCGTAATCCCAACCCCTTCGCTGCTCACTCATCATCATCTGCCAAAAAAAGAAAGAAAAGAAAACAAACAAAAAAAGAATCACAACCCTCAGATCCTTTGTACGCCGGAAAATGCCGAATCAGTCGGGTCTTCGGTTGATATCGCAGATTTTGATGGTGGAGAAGGATGGGAAGCAAATTCAGTGGGGAAAAAAATAAAAAAAAAAAAAACACCGGAAGACAAGAAAGGAAATTATCATGATATAGAGAGGCGGGGGTGAGAAGAGAGAGGGAAAAAAAAAGAAAAGAAAAAGAAATTCAACTGATATACATGGATGGTATTCCCTGTTCTCTCTCACCGCACGGACACTCCAGACCGGTTGGTAAACATGCGAGCGGCAATGTTCATCGAGGCCAGCTCTTGGAACAGAAGCTTGGCTGCATATGGGATATGCACCTGCGAAATACGGTGCTTGTTGTTGCACAGTCGGCACTCGAACAGACCTTTCTTGAGTTTTCTGCAGAATCTCCGTTAGCATGGTCCGTCCACTAGAGTCAACTAGTCAGCTAGTCAGGGAAGCATCGTCAAACTTACGCAACCGGGGTCATTAAGCCGCAGTCATCGCAGATATGCACGCGGAAGGGGTCGGACACATCGAACAACCGCTCCTTCAAAAAGGCACTGGCTCCGTGCGCAATCATACAATCGCGCTCCATTTCTCCGAATCGAAGACCACCATCACGGGCACGACCCTCCACAGGCTGTCTCGTCAGGATCTGCGTAGGCCCGCGTGCACGGGCATGGATCTTGTCGTCTACCATGTGGCGCAGACGCTGGTAGTAGGTCGGCCCCAAGAAGACCTGGGCCACCATCTTCCGTCCAGTGTGGCCGTTGTACATCACCTCAAATCCACGAGACTGGTAACCGTGTTCACGAAGAAGACGAGAAATTGAGTCGACCGTGACGTCGGTGAATGGTGTGGCGTCACCCTCAAATCCACGTAGCGCAGAAACCTTACTAAGCTGACACTCAATCAAGTGGGCAATTGTCATACGAGAAGGAATGGCGTGAGGATTGATGATCAAGTCGGGAGCCACACCCTCACGCGTGAATGGCATATCCTCTTGACGATAGGTGATACCAATGGTACCCTTCTGTCCGTGACGCGAGGCGAACTTGTCACCAATTTGGGGCACCTTGGTCGTCCTCATGCGTACCTTGACGAACTTCAGGTCGTCGTTACTCGTAGATACCAACACCTGGTCCACGATACCATTCTCCGTGCTTCTGAGGGAAGTGGAGGCGTCCGTTTTGGTGTGCGCCTTGGTCCGTTGGCCCAACTCCTCCGCGTCTGGAGCCAGAGGTGCGGTTTTACCGATGATGATATCGTCACCGGAGACACGAACACCCGGGGCGATGATGCCGTCCTCGTCGAGCTTATCATAGGTTCCCTTCCGCATGCCGAGGGTGTCCGATCTCATCGGCTTCTCGAAGCGTTCAATGACTTGCAATCCCACCATTTTCTCGCTGTCGGTGTAAGTACGGTAGAAGAGACTGCGGAATAAACCACGATCAATACTGCTCTGGTTCATTACGACGGAATCTTCCTGGTTATAACCAGAGTAGACAGCGATAGCAACAATAGCGTTCTGACCAGCCGGGAGCTCACGGAATCGCAAGAATTCCATGGACCGCGTTGTGGCCAGGGGCTTTTGAGGGTAGTAAAGGATGTTGGCCATCGTCTCCATACGTTGGTCAAAGTTCGTCAAAAATACCCCCATGGCTTGTTTACCCATAGCGGACTGGTAGGTGTTACGGGGAGACTGGTTGTGATCTGGGAAGGGAATGATACTGGCACAAACACCAAGGATCATACTGGGATGGATCTCGCAGTGAGTCCAAGTGTGCGCCTTTTGACTCAGAATGGAGCGTACACGCTTGTTCGGATCGTGTAGTTCCTCATCCGGAAGAGCATAACCAGCCTGGAGTTGCTTGGAAATTTCGAGATCTTCCGGAGTCATGGAAATCATGATGGTCTCTTCTTCTTCAGCATCGACGTACTCCACTACACCAGACTTCACCAGGCCATCCCAACCGAAGTAACGATCGCGGCGGTCTTCTGGATCCAAGTCTGGAGGCAGGTCTTTATCTTGTTCCAGTTTGCGGATGTGTTCTTTGTTGAGCACCAGAGAGCCGCAGTTTTCACTCTTCGGGTCATTGTCAATGACGTAGAGCGGTCGGCAGACACGTCCAGCATCGGTGAAAATCTTGAACTCCCGCTCACGAATGTCTCGAATCAGACTGACCTCGTGCGAAATCATGTTGCGGCGACGAAGGGAAAGCATCGTGTTGACAAGGTGAGCGGGATCTCTGTGGATACCAACCCAGACACCATTGACAAACACCTTGGTAGCGTTCGGTGTCACTTGAGGTTCGAACTCCTCGAGGACTTCCATATTACGCTGAATCATGAAATCAATGATAGGCTCGCTGGGCGTACCGACAGTGATATAGCACATGAGAGCCAAGTTCTTGACCAAACCACAAGCTTGACCTTCAGGGGTTTCAGCCGGACACACCAGGCCCCAATGAGTGTTGTGAAGCTGACGAGGCTTGGCGATCTTTCCGTCTCGCCCGATGGGTGTATTGGTTCGGCGAAGATGGGACAAGGTGGAGGCGTAAGTGTAACGACTGAGCACTTGAGACACACCGGCCTTGGAGCTAGCTGCCTTCTTCTGCTCGCCCCAGTTACCCGTAGCAAGAGCATACTTCAATCCTCCCGTCAAGGTGCTAGCCTTGATACCAATGTTCAGGTAAATCTCTCTGTTCGTCTCCACGCACCGCTGAACATACCGCTGTAGATCGCGGGTGACGCGGGTGAACAAGACTCGGAAAAGGTTCGCAAGAAGAGGACCGGCCAAGTCCAGGCGCTTCTTACCGAAATGATCACGGTCGTCGACATCCCGGCGACCCAGAGCACACTGGAGAAGTCTGTGCACCATGTAACCCAAGAAGAAGGCTTTCCGCGTCTCACTACCTTCGCTCTGGGAGATATGCGGGAGGAACTCTTTCTGCATGATCTCACGAGCATAACGGACACGGCGTTCGTGGTTCATGCTGGACTGGGAAGAGCCACGCTTGGCGATGAAGTCAAGTGCGACCTCGCGGTCCTGAATGACGAAACCTTCTTCAATACATGGCTTCAGCATCTCCAGCATAGGTGTGTCGTTGCGGTCATAACAAATGTGGTTCAGGATATCTTCATCAGAGACCACTCCGAGAGCTCTGAAAACAACCACAATTGGAATATCGGTCTTCACGTAGGGCAGTGTCGACCGAATCGTGGGACCAAATCCACCCTTGGCACTATCACCTTTCGCGAACAGCTTCAGAGACAATTGTGACAAAAGCCGCGAACCCTTCTCGACAGCACTGCGAATTTCAGCAACATAAGGTGTGGGACTGGGTGGCGCCTTCTTGAAAACCTGGACCGTGTTGCCAGCACTGCGTTCCTGGGCAATCAGAACCTTCTCACTGCCATTAATGATGAAGTAACCGCCCGAGTCGTAAGGGCACTCATTCCAGTTGTAGAGAGCCTGTTCGCTCAAGTCCTTAAGGATACAGTACTTGGACTTGAGCATGATGGGCACCTTTCCGATGAACACCGTCTCCTCCTTAGCTTGGTCAGCGGGTAGTTCCTTCTGCTCCCACGAAAGATAGGTGCCATGAGCTTTGCGATCCTCGCTCGGGTCACCCATCTCATCCTCATCCCGGTCGGCAATCAGACGTTCCCGACCCTCCATAATCTTCTTGGTAACACCCAGGTATAGAGGACTGGCATATGTAAGGTTACGTAGACGAGCCTCCTGCGGCAACATGATGGTCGTCGCACCATCACCTTCCGTCACGGAGGGGCGGGAGAGCATGACGGTTCCGAACTTGAGCTCGTATCGGCGGACAACAACCGGGTCGACTTCATCTTCGGCGGGGGGGAGCGTCTGATCCAGTGTCACTTGGCCTTGTTCCTCCACCAACTCCTGCATCGTTGACGAGATGAACTCATCGAAAGAGTCTAGCTGCTGTGAAACCAGACCCTTGGTGTCGAAAAAGGACGAGATGACGGTCCAGCAATCCTCCGACGTGATCCCCTCGTCCATATCATCGTAGTACTCATCCTCGTAGGCATCTTCGTAGTCGGCCATCTTGACGAATAATCGATCACGGACCTAGCAAAATGATAAAGGACAAGGATTCAAGAAGGCGCAAAGGGCGCGACGCGCTCGGCGGAAAATATCCCACTCGACGTCGCCAAAGGGCTAATGTCAGAGGGTAGACACCGGGGGGTGAGAATTCGAGATGGGCAAGGACAGAAGCAATCAAAGAGCCGGGAGCCTCAAGAAGATAATGAGGTTGAAAAACCCAGGCCACCGGTGATGCTGGTGAAGGGAGCAAGCAGCTGGGGAAGTGCTTCAAGTCTCCGGGCGGGCGATGATGGATCTTGACTTGATGAGCGAGCAGAGAGAGAGAGAGCCGCCACTAGTCCTCCCGACCGCCTGCTGCTGCTGGCGCCGCTAGTCACGGGTAGTTAACTAAGGCAAAGGCATAACTACAGTAACACTAATCCGAAACAAAGAACCACCATCACGTGATTGTTATTTATCCATTGAATTCAATTCACTTTGGTGTTACTTTACATTACAATACAAGATACATCCACAATGACCTCACCTCACCCACTTCCTATGCTTATGCATTCTGGGTGAATGCTCATGGTTTGCTAGCAGCTATACCAAGATTGATCTTCTGTATCCCAATCATACAAACTGAAGAAGTGTCTCCAGCATCTCCTTATGGTCCTTTTGCCCCGGATCTTCCTCCGAAAGACCTTCTACTTGCTCTAGATGTACAGTATTGTCAGTCTTGGTTCTCATAGTGAGGGATACAGGAGGTGTGTAATTGCCATACCTTGTAAGGTAGCTTTGACCAAAGACAAATCCTCATCTCGGTCTGCGAGAAGGGAAACAATCTTCCTCTTGGCCCCATCATCTTCGGCGACGAGCCAAGCCAGAATCACGTCAATGAGCTGCAAAAGGCGTCAGTATGTCTGGACGGGGCTGAAACTGGCGTCGAGTATGAGCGACGAACCTGAATTGAAAACAGCCCAGCGTCAAACCGCCGGGATAACCATTCGCCTGCCATGACCTCCTGTTCCTCTGGTGTGAAGCTTTTCCGTTCCTTCTCAATCGCTTGCTCGACGGGAGACACTCTCGAAGCATAATCCCGTCGTAGCTTGACGAGTTTCTCGATCTTTTCATAGTCCTTCTCTATGAACTTGGCAAGCGTACGTATACGCGGCGCGGACCCCCCCGGTAGCAGGCGCAGGAGGGAAGCAAAAATGCCCAGTAAATGTTCGACCGTCTGGTTCTCTTGCTGCTGAATGTCAACCCAGCCCGAGCACTCACGAGAAGAGTATAGCATACCTTGCGCTTGAACATGCCAAATACAGTACTCAAACATGCTGCTTCGATGAACCTCTCGCAAGCACTTGCACCTGCTGCACCGCCTAGAGCATGATCCAGGACTCGTAAAGCTCTCTGTTTACTGAACTTCCCTTCTTTCAGCATAATCTGGGCGAGTTCAATTCCTTCACTTTGCAGGAATTTGTCCTTGCCAGATTCCTCATCAACGACGCAAATCAAACAGTCAAACAAATTCTCGACATATTCCTCCTCGTCAGAATCTTTCTCTGGATCACGCTTGCGATATTGGCTGAGTAATTGAAGAAGAACTTCAACGCCGTCCAAGCCCACGAACCTCTCGCGATTCTTGGCCGTAGACTGTAGTAGGATGGCCAGAATTTCAGCCGAGTATTGTTGATTCTGGCTCACAGGCCTTTCCTTTTTCTGAATACGAGATATGAGCCAAGGCAGAACATTGGGGTCCTCCCCTATCTTCTCTGCGATTGACGCTTGCGAGGCGAGGTTTTCAAGAACATCTTGGGCGGTCTTAGTAACTTGTCGAGCTCCCGAAGGACGGCGGACTCACTTAGCACGTAGTATACTCCTGCTCTGTCAACCTCGGATTCTTCGTCTAGCCTAGACAGGTTTTGCGCTAGTAGTTCAACAAGGTCGGCATCCAACTACCACTATCAGCAAGTTTCTAGCTTCGGTATACAAGTGAATATACCATAGCGTTGACAAGTGTGTCCCATTGCTCCTGCTCAGCTTCCACATCTTCGTCAGTCAATTCCCCAATGATCTGGATGGCATCGATCGCGATATCGGCGTTTTCATGGGAGAGTAAGGATACGAGTGAGCCAACGCAGCCCAGCTTTGCGAATTCATCGAACAGTTCGGGGTGCTCGGAGAGAATCGATAGGCCCTTGATCTCAGTATCGAGGTCCGCCTCCGAAGCCATAAACCTAGGAAGCTTAGCAAGATTTGTTCTTCCGTATCATGATCAACCCAGATCAAAACCCACTTTTGAGGATCATTCTCGAATTTTCCGCGAAGCTCAGCATTCTTGGATATCTTCTTCTCGAAGTTCAGGGCGAATCGTCGCACCCAGGCAAGGTCAAATTTCTCCAGCTAAGCCACATCAGCACTCATCCCCATGCAGCTTCATGAGCTATGCCCTTACCGATGCCTCTTCCTCTTCATGCTGGTCAATGTATTGCATAGCCTGGGCGGTCTGGCGCTCCATACCACCGCCGAAAAAGCGACCTTCTTCGTCGTCGGGGACATCTTCGGCCTCGAAATCCGGGGGTAATTCTGGGCCGGCATAGTCGTCCTCTGCGTCGCCTCCTTCCTCTTCTACTATTGCCGCCTTCCCTTTTGATTTAATATCTCCACCCGCGTCCAGCTTAGCCGCTTTATAGAGCTCATCTTGCATTGAACGTCAGCACCGTCTGCCGGAAAGGAGGGGTATTCGTAACGAACTTGGGTCTTTCGAGGCATCATATTTGCGCTTTGAACTCGCTGCAGATGAAGGTTTCTTTAGACGTTAGCAAGCCTTTGGGACCTTAGTGTCATCATGGATTCTGTACCTTGAAGAGCTCATCGATGCTCGTCATGGCTGCGGCTTGCGCGAGTGGACTTAACGGAGGCTCTCGTCACCACCAACTCAAATCAGGTAGATACGCGGTATGCAGGTCGACCAGTCCAGACTCCAGTAGATAAGTTCCTCTTGTTGACCAATTCAAGCAAGTTGCGACCGTTGACTGCTGCTGCTTGATTGACTGATCGCGCCGCAGCTCCCAAGCCGATACGGGTGCCGCGATAAGCTAAAGGCGCAGCTGCCAAGCATGGAAAGATTTCTCGGCCTCCGGCATCATTCCGCATTGCCCTCAACCGCAACTCCATTTACTCCATTCATCTCTACAACGTATTACAACGACCCCCTCCCCGTCAAGCTCCAACGCTCACTCATCCACCTCCCACATCCCATTCACATCATGGCCCCCAGACAGCGCGTCGTTTCCGGTCGCCCCCAGAAGGGCTTCCTCAGTACCGCCTACGAGGAACTTACTGCCGCCGAAAACGCTACCATCGTTCGAAGCCTTCTTGTCTTCGGCGTAAGTGCCAAATCTCACAGGCTCAATTACAATAGGAACCGGGAAACTAACTGTTTTTCTTATTAGGCTGGCGTCGCTTTCCTCCACAGCAGCCTCGGCGAGCTCCTCCTCCCTCCGTAAGTTCGAGATACACCGAGTCCCTGTCAACTCAACCGCTCAGGCCGTCAGCCTGGCCAGGATCCCACAGGTCGCTGATGATTGATGAGCAGTATGTAAAATGGATACCCTATGCCTCCGTCCAACTCCGTGAAATGAAGGCCGGCCTGTCCCGCCCGACAGGCCGGGAACCGGGTCGACTATTGATCGCTGGATACGTGCGGAATCTTGCTATGCTATTGCTCTCGACATCCGAAGTTAATGAATACGTGTATTATATTTTTTCGTGCATTAAATGGCTCCGCCTCGCTGGTGGATGGGACAAGACTTGCCAGATGATCTCTGGGAGTCTCTCTTTTCCTTCTTTTTGAATAGACTTGTGATCCTAGTCACCTCTCGCTCGTCTCGGAAATCCTGCGTGCGTAGTACTCAGACAATAGTGGATGCTCTGGGGCTCGACCAAACTACTATCATGCGTCTTTGAAACTCTTTGCATTTGGTATCTACCTCATCTTGTGAGACGGGCCTCGAGATGTTTCGACAGCCTCTAGTCAAACGCAACCATAAGAGGCCGGAAACCAGGTAGTGGCAGGTTGTCTACTCGTTTAGAGACAGATATATCTCAGATCATTGATCTGAGTGTGGTTCAAAGCAAGTCATGGTGCCTGGAGCATGAGGAATGGAAATGTCCCTGCATACAACCGATATGTTTTTGAGAATCTATCGGGGGGTAGTGTCGTGCGGCCTGGCGGTCTCGCTGAATGCCCATCTATAAGTAGATACAAAGCACAATAAACTGAGAATGCCTTTCAAAAACAATCATTCTCTTTCTTATTATTGTCCCCTTGTCCCCTTGGCAGTCTGGGATGAAAAACATTGAACGGGTGGGCATTGATTTCAATAAAGGCTCTTTGTCTGCCTAGGACTTTTTAAGGATACATTCAACTTCGACATGGGAGCATTATCATCGATAGTGATAAAAACCACTTGTGCCCTCCAGGTCATAGATTATGGCATTGAGCAAGCATCATATTCAGTATCTACGACGATTGACTGACCCAAATCAAGCGCCACTGGCATTACTCTTTCATCATGTGCGCAAATTTAACAGAGCCAATGGCCCCAGACGCCATGCTCGAGTCCGCTTTGCCTGGATTCACATTTCTGTCTCGTTTTCTATTTACCAACTTCAATATTGACCTGTCCCCTTATTGTTTCGTTTTCCTCATCATCATCTGTGGCCGCATGGCGTTGCACCACGTTCTGCACTTGTTTGTGACCCCACTAAACTCTGCCTTGGCACATCTTCGTGACTCGTTCACTTGCAGGATCGAGGTAGAAGGTCAGGACAGCATATACAGATACCTCATGTACTGGGTGATACATCATAGGTCTATGGCTAGAGCCAAGCATCTCCTTGCCAGCAACGCGCTGACGGTCGGCGGTCGATATGTCAATATAAGAACCAGCCTTGACCCCAACGAAGACGACGACGAGCCTGAATATCAGCCAGGAGACAACTTCGACGAATGGTGGAGCAAGGTCATCAAGAAACGCAGCACCCAGCCCTTGCACTTCATCCCCTCCACGCAGGAGCACTACTTCTTGTACGCCAGCCCTTGGTTCTCTTGGTGTTTCTGGCGCTGGATCAAGTTCCAGCGCACCAAAACCAGCGAAGACACGTTGGTCAGCGATCGAATCGTCATCTCCTGCTGGGGACTGCCGTTCTCCAATTGGGGCATAGGTATGCTCAAGCAGCTGCTTGCCGAGGCGCAGCAGACGTGGCTTGACAAAGACCAGGATAAGATCGAGATTTGGAGTGCCCGAGGGGAGGAGTGGCAGCCGTGTGACGGGCGTGCCCCGAGGCCGCTGGACAGTGTGGTGCTTGACCAGGAGGTCAAGGCTGGTGTCTTGGCTGATATCGAGAGATTCCTCATGAACAAGGCTGTCTACGAGGTGCGAGGGCTTCCGTATCGCAGGGGCTATTTGCTCTATGGCCCGCCCGGAACTGGCAAGACCAGTCTATGTTATACCCTTGCCGGACACCTGAAGCTACCGATCTATGTGATAGACCCCAGTTCGTCTTCTCTGAACGAAACCCGCTTCAGACAACTCTTCTCCGAATTGCCCTCGAGGTGTATCGTTCTGATGGAGGATGTGGACTGTACGGACATCACACAGTCACGGGCACCTGGGCATGACAACAGGAACCAGCACATGATGATGCCTGGACACGGTCCTACTCAAAACGGCATTTCACTATCTGTTCTTCTCAATGCCATCGACGGTGTGGATGCAAGTGAAGGCCGCATTCTCATGATGACGAGCAACCACGCCGAAAAGTTGGATGCGGCACTGATCCGTCCAGGGCGGGTGGACATGCGCATCGAGTTCAAATATGCGACACGTGACGAGATTGAGTCTTATTTCAAGACGTTTTATTCGCCTCTACATACTCTGAGGCATGTAGTGCGGATCCAAAATGAGGAGCGGGTGCCCATTATCACATCTGGAGACGTCGACAGGCTGGCCTGTGACTTTGCTGCACAGATCCCCTCGGCACAGCTTACGGTTGCTGAGCTCCAGGGACATCTCCTTGAGCACAAAGACGATCCTAGAGCAGCCATCAGAGAAGTAGAGACATTGCTCCAGAAGACGAAGGCTCAGCGCGATGAGCGCATTAAGAAGCAGATGAAAGAGCAACAATTGGATATGAATAAGGAGAGGGAGAAGATGCTAAACAAGGAAATCGAGATGGAGAAAAGGCTGCAGAGCGAGGAGCCTACCGCTGAGAGAAAGATATACAGTTTGCGGTCACGGCGGCGAATTGGCTACTAGGGCTCTTTGTATATAATCACGATGCTGCAATGTACTATATACACCTACATCCCACTGTACATGATGAGAATTTATGATCGACATACAAAACTTCCTAGAGTGGCCTAGTTTCACCCCACAGCTGACCCCAACTTTTTTCTCTTCTGCGCGGGGCAATCAAAGTAGAGATTATCTAAGCCAAACGCCACTCGACTTCTAGAAAGACTGGGAACTAACCCATCATTAGGTTATCCACCCCCGACCAAAAAACAATCTCGCCTCAGAGGACAAGCGTCAGTGAAGCTTGATCCTATTTTACTTTGCAATACATACATTTAACTCACCCGCCTCGGTGATTTTATCCTCATTGTCATTATAGCCATAAAAGATGTTAGCAGCGAAGCGCAAGCCGCCAAGTGCGGAGACCGACGATGATAATCCGCCGGCGCCTAAAAGAAGCAACAGCCTGGGATACAATCCACATGCGCCCTGGCTGCAGGACGCCAGACCATCTCGGAGCTGGCGGACTTTGGGCGAACGCGCTCACCGACCCTCCCTGCCATTGGAGAATATGGTTTCTACGGTCCGAGATCTGATAGACCCGGACTTCGATCCACTGATTGCGCTGCTGGATGAAGAGCCGCGATTTTTGAAGCCGCTTCCAGCACGCATCCCCCAGGAGGACTTGGAATTCTTGCGATTCCGGGGAGCCCTGACAATTCCCGAGAGTGGTCTGCGAAATGAGCTCCTGCGCTGCTATATCAAGTGGGTGCACAGCTTCATGCCGGTGCTGAACCTACAGGAGTTCTTGCGGTGTGTGGCCGAGAATGACCCCAACGGGAATGTCAGCTTGCTGCTATTCCAGGCGGTCATGTTTGTGGCCACTGCGTTCGTGGATATCAAACATCTGCAGGATGCTGGTTATGCGACCCGGAAAAGCGCGCGAAGTGTATTCTTTACACGGTTGAGGGTATGTGCGAGCCTCGAGCTACACTGTCAGATATGCTTTTTCTTGTTCTGTGGCTGACTAGGAGCGCTAGCTGCTGTACTCCTTGGACTGCGAAGACGATCGAATCGTCATCTTGCAGACACTCCTTCTCATGACTTATTGGTCTGATCATCAGAACAACCCTCACAGAGACATCTGGGATTGGATTGGTGTCTGCAATACACAAGCCCATTCCATCGGGTTGAACAGGGATGCATCCACAGCTAATATGGACCCGAAGATGAAGAGGCTGAGGGCTCGTATATGGTGGAGTTTGTACTCACGCGATCGTCTCATCGCCATGGGTTTAAGGCGTCCTACTCAGGTTAATGAGGGGACAAGCAATGTACCCATGTTGAGACTTGAGGATTTCGACTTCGAGCCTTTTCATCCTGCAGTCATTGAGATGTTTCGCTGTCGCCAGCTCGAGGACGTATCCCACCAAAAGCGCCTAGCTACCATGTTCATAGAAAAGGCCAAGCTGTGCCAAAGCATAGGGAGAGTCTTATTCGCGCAGTATTCACCATCTCAGTGCCAATTCGGGGTGACAACTCGAACAACGATCAGTCTAGTCCCCAGACAAGCATCAGAATCAGAGTTGGCACGATGCAGCCATCGACTCGAATCATGGTTGAGCGCCCTCCCAAAGGATGCACAATTCATCCCAGCGTCACGAACTAATATTCATGATGGAGAAGATGTCTTGCTCCTCCACGGCGCGATGGTACGAATGCTATATCATGCGACTACCAGCGCACTGTACCGACCCTGGGCATTTTTGCCCAAGAAGGATCAACCCAAGTCGCGTCTTGATCTAATCAACACAGCACAGACGAAGATGCAGGACGCTGTCATTGGTATTACTCATATCATTCAAGGTCTCAACCAGTTGAACCTCACACGCTTTCTGCCACAGTCCGGGGTAACAGTAATTATCCCTGCTGCTGTAGCCCACCTGACGAACTCGTTGTCCGGTCACCCCTCAACGCGAGAATCCAGCATCCACCACTTCCAGCGCTGCATCCAAGTCTTGCAAGGGCTCAAAGACATATATCCCGCAGCAGACATGGAAGTAGCTAACATCGAAGCTGCGGTCAAGGTTCAATCTGACTGCAATAACGCTCTCTTACAAATCATGCAACTTGACTCTCCTTCATCTCCGAACACCATGCAGCAACCTCAGGCGCGGAAACCAAGTGCTGCCTCTACCTCCCGAACTGTGCTTTCAGCGGATGGGAAAAATCCCAGTCAATGGACCCCCCCTCGAGACGATCAGGAGCTAACCGACTCCGCGACCTTGAACCTGAAACAATCCGACCTTAGGACCGCCGGCCCCTTCCGAGCCCGCCGCGACAGCAATCTCACAGCATCACCCGCCACCGCAGCCTCTCTCAACGCCAACCCTCCATCCTTACACAAAGCTCAACCCACCCCGCCACACGATTTCGATGACCCCTTTAGTCATGTTTTCCACGATCATAATTCTGTCTCACCCCGCCAACCAAACCCCCAACCCGACCATCAAGGCCAGTCGCACGACAATTCGACCCTAGACCCTACGGACTTTTTCTTCGACCTTGACCTCGACCTCGACAACTATGATGCTGACTTCCCCTCCCAAGAAGGCCATGACTCGACCGCTACGGCAGCGGCAGCAGCCAACCACACCGCCGCCGCCGACATGGACATCGACTGGGCGAACGAGCTTCTCCGCTGGGTTGACCCCGGACAAAGTCAGAGCCGTGAGCTGAGGTCCGATGACCATGATCGCAACGACCTCTTCGGGATATTTGACCCCGAAAGCGATAGTGGCAACGTGCAACAGCACGAAATAACGGCCACCAGGTTCACTCCTGGCAATATTACGGGTGATCTGGACCGGGATCTAGGGTTGACTGAAGAAGAGGATGGCATGTTTTGATGTTGAAGATCATGGCGACCAGCAACGGCAAAAAGCGACATATCAGTCCAACACCTACTTTATAGACGAAGCATCAACTTTGGAGGATAGAAACAGTAAAATTGCACATATAACAGATTTATCCCCATGTATGTATGTCTTCGTCCTTCTATTTCTCTACTTCGTACAGTCATAAAACAAAACCCAAGCACTAAATCTGGAACGAGACCTGCGATCGTAAGGTAGTGAGTAAGATAGGTAGCTTGGGAGACTCGCTTCGCTAGGGTGGAATTCAGCAATGGTTAGGGAGTAGGCAGGACGCCTGCGTAGGCGTAGGTTTAAAAAACCCGAAAGCGTCAGGAAAGCTGTTGACACTATTCCTTCTGCGTCCACCGATTCTTCTCATCTCCCTTCTCCCATTCATGCTCGATATACCCGAGCTTCTTCTTGACGCTCTGCACGGTTGCCTTGTCGCCCGTATTTTTGCCCATGTTATCACTGAGTTTGACGGCGGGCCGGCCGTTGGCGGTGGAGATCTTGATGACGATGTTCAGGGGCTTCGATTTCTCTCCGTCAGATTTATTGGTGAAATCATCTGTTTTGGTGTCCCCGGAGTAGGGTCAAGTCAGTTCTTTGGCTTCCAATGGTTCTTCTTATTATTGGAAATGATTGAGTGAGGAAGGCAAGGTGGTAGGATGGATGGGATGGAAAACGTACTTGTGAAAAAAGTGCCCACGCCGAAAACGGGCTGGAAGCCGGCTTCCTCGGCAATGACCTTGTATTCGACGCAGTGCTCGATGTCCAGGGAGTCAGAGAACACGACCGTCTTGGGTTCCTTGATCCCCTCCCGGTCGTAGAATTCCCGGACCATCTTCACAAAGTAGGTGGGATCTCCGGAATCCTGGCGCACACCGGTGTAGACCTGGGCGTAGGTCTTGGTTGGATGCTCGCCCTGGGAGTCTTGCAAGGGAGCAGAGATGGGAGGCGTTGTGCGTGCCTCGCTTTGGATGGTGGATTGGACCGTCGTGCCGGGCCCGGAGGCAGTTGTGCTGACGGCGCCCACGCCGGCGCTGGTATAGGCGGGGATAGGTTTGCGGAACGCATCGAGGAAAGCCGGGGTGCCGAAAGTGTCGGTCAAGGCGATGCCCAGAACCTGGTTTTGAGTTAGAGCATAGAACGCGCTGATTAGGCCAATTCTGCCAGGGGGGGATGCGGGGGGCACGTACTCCTTCGCCGAAGCAACCAAGCCAATACCGGAGAGCCATCTCGTTGGCGTTCTCATAGTCGTCCGTGATGGCAGCGATGGTCATGTACCATTCGTGAGCGACAGTGCCCACAGGGGTCACATCGTACTTCATGGCGAAATGGACATTGCTCGTGCCCGTGAGCGCACCCTTCCAGCCATGTTTTTTGCCCTCTTCCGCGGCGCGAGATAGTCCCTTCATGACCAGGTCTTGCGTGTGATAGTCGCGCCGTCTTCGGGATCCGAACTCGGAGAAGATGCACCCGTGCTCTAACAAGGTGCAGCCCTTCCGGAACGCCTTCTCCTCCTGGCAGCTGTAGTCCCAGTCCTTATCGGTGAACATGAAGTACGCTTGGCTGGTCAGGGCCAGCAACGGGATCTCGTAGAGGATGGTGTCCACCCAGAGACCCTTGATAACATAATCGACATCGCCCTTGTCTTCGTCACTGCCAGTGTCGCCTTCCCCTGGGGTAAAGTGGATCTCGACCTGCTCGGAGGGCTTGAGTTTGAATGTGGTCAGGAAGTGTAGGTAGGCATCGTTAAAGTAGGGGCATTTCTTCTTCAGGAATTCGATCTCGTCGCTTGTAACTTGAATGTTCCCGAGCTCTGAACAGAGATAATCTGCGGTTAGTCAGGTCGAGAATTATCGATTCCCTTGTGCCAACTTACTGTCCAGCTGCGCAAGAAGCCATTTGTAAGCACCCCGCGTCAGCTTCATATTGGCAGTGCGGTTCGTGAAGCCATAGGTGACATCTGCGCGTTGGTTTGACCGGTCAACAAAATCTGTGCGCCCAGCAAGCTCTGATCCGAGGCTGCTTACGAGTATCAGGGAAGTATTTGAGGATGGCGCATTGCATCGTCAACTTGTACAAGTCTGTGTCAAGCAGCGAGCAAATGCCCTCCGGGAGCGGAGGGGATGCTTCTTGTGTCATAATTGGGATTGCACGGTCAAAACCTGGTACAATGCAGAAATATAGGAGACGAATTGGAGGTAGCGATACTCTCCCTGAGAGAGTTTCAAGCTACTCAAGAGTGCACGAGGTTGGAAAACCCCCAAGGGAGTTGCTTTGCTGCGCGGGGAGATCAACGAAAAGATAGTGTTTGGTTTGTTTGCACACTGAGGGGCTTCCGTCATCCGCGGGCGACGTCATCCAATCTTCTTTACTTCCCTTTCAACCACGGGCCACAACTGAATCAATGTGGTTAATCTTTTCTGTTGGCACTCGACTCAAGCCTTGAACAGAGGCCTCAATTGCGCGGGAATCATGGCTGCATTGCGTGGCCCACATCTACCGAAGGCGTCATCTCGGCCTAGACTGCCTTTTGCGTCTATCGCCGGGATGCAGACTACCACATATTTACGGAGTACCTTGCCTTCCATTGCATAACGAGCCTGTCCTAAACTGTTGAATCCAAAAGGAGACATTATCACCGAGGTGCTACCTGCAACTAGTGAAGTGATCTCGCTTCGAGTCCTTTGTTTTCAAGTTTTCACTCCGATAACTGCCCGGTCATCGGTAGAGATAACTGCCTAGATCAGCAAATCCTCGCAAATCGATAACACTGCTCGGCCCCACGGTGCGAAGATCGCTAGCGGCGCTGTCAACTGTCTCGATTTGCGGCGGATGCACAACATAGGATTCAGTAGCACTCGCAGTCGCCTGAAAGTGAGCCCATCGGTAGGCAATGAGACTAGCACGGCTATATCTTTCTTCCGATTGACTGTCTGAAAGAAAAAATTAACACTTTCACATGCTTCGGGGGGTAATCAAAATGGCAAGGATTATCCTTGTCTGTAGCTGAGTCTTGCTTACCGCAGACGCATCTTGCATTGGCAAGCATACCCCGGGTCTGCAGGACATTACTCGTTCATTCCCGACTACACTGTCATTGGCATATAGAAGAGAAGCACGAGCACTGGACAGGCCTCAAGACGGAATGATTCAATCCAGATTCTTTGACTTTGAAGGGCTCGATGCCGATTGACCTCGAGTTCTGGCGCGAAACTATTTTGAAAACTGAAATGCGAGTGGAAAGAACGCACTTCTCAATCTCCCATCGTGATCTGGGTCTGTGATGGTATCCGTGAGAGATTAATTTGCTAGAAGTGATGTATCGAAGCTCAGAACGACTTGTGTCCTGAAAAATCACAACTCAAAGGCCCGGCAATGGTATACGAAATAAACATCTCGAGGTTTAGCAGCAGCTGAGACTGCAACTTTCAAAGACTATTCATCAAACGGGACCTCAAATCCTCCAGCGCAGAGTCATGTCTATACATAACGCTTCTCCTTGAGTGACCCTGGGAAATGATATGTGACTCCTATGTTCGCCAGTGTCACTGGGTTCAAGCTAGACCATCCTACGTATGCAAAGACAAAGTCTAGGCCCATTAGCCGACAGGGTCTTCTCCAATCTACACGCTGAGTTTAGCTGTCCTCGGCCAGGTGCAACTCTACACAAGTTTCTATGATCCTGGTTGCCATACTTTGGCCTATCCATTTGAACCCTGAATCTGGCACTTGATAACACAAAGATCGTAAGAGTCCATGCGAGGACGCCACAGTTACTGCTATCTATAACTAGACAAGCATCTCTTGTTTATGGATGTGGCGAGCCGGCGGCAATCGATCAACAGACATAAGATATAGGCACCTAATATGTCCCTCGTCGTGTTGTCCCTTCTAGTCATCGGTTACTACATCCTGAGAAGCCTTTATCGCCTCTATTTTCACCCGCTCAGCAAGATCCCGGGACCTCCAGTAGCAGCGATTACTGGCCTCCATGAGTTCTATCACGACGTCGTTCGAGGTGGAAAGTTCCTCTGGAAGATCGAAGAGATGCATAAGAGATATGGTATACCGGGTTTGAAGTCCTTGCTCGCATGAGCTCTCTTGTTGAAGAGAACTAGGTCCCATTGTGCGGATAAACCCTCGAGAAGTCCATATCATCGATCCCGCCATGTACGATGAGATCTACGCCGGTAACAGTCGCAAGCGGAACAAGGACCCGGTCTTTGTCTCCTCCTTTGCGTCCCCATTCTCGGTCATAGCAACGATCGATCATGATCTTCACCGCGCGAGACGAAGTTTGTTGAATCCCTTCTTCTCGAAGAAAGCGGTAACGGAGCTCTCCACGATCATCCAAGAGAAAATCGCCCGGCTATCATGGCATCTGGAGAGATTCTATGCAGACGAAACGGTGATTGCACTGCACACGGCCTTCGTCGGTCTGACAGGGGACACCATCACCCATTACTTGTACGGCCAAGACAAGGGCTACCTATCTGATCCAGATCTTACCAAACGTGACTTCATCTGGGAGCTGATGTTTGAAGGCACCAACTCATGTCATTTGTTTCGATTTCTCCCCAGCATTCCTCAACTGATCAAGGCTCTGCCTGGCCGTTGGATGCGTCTCACCCGTCCTAAACTAGCCCAAGTCTATGCAATGCAAGAGCAGATCGCACAGCAGTCACGGGACGCCCTGCTCAACAAAGACAGCCACGCCAGCACCGTAGGCTCGATATACCAGGCCCTGACTGACCCGTCTCTGCCCCCCGAGGACCGCTCCCTGGCCCGTCTTCGTGATGAGAGCTTCATACTCCTCGTCGCCGGTACCGAAACTACGGCTTCATCGTTGACCTTTGCCGTCTACCAACTCCTACGCGACAGAGGAATGTTCCTCAAAGTCCGCCAGGAACTGAAACAGGCCATGCCTACCCCACGCCACGAACCCAAATGGTCTCAACTGGAGCAATTGCCTTATCTGGTAACTCCCTGAGCACCTGAAACCTGCACACCTCCGTCTCGGCCACATGGGTTCCAAGTTTCTAACGGCTATACCACCACAGACAGCCATTATAAACGAAGCCCTCCGGCTCAGTGCAACGCCCATGCGACCAGTTCGAGTAGCCCCATCCGAGTCCTTGCAGTACAAACAATACACAATTCCTCCTGGTGTACGTTATTCCGCGCACCTTCTTTAACCCCCGCAAACCCAACCTCACGATGAAGCCCCCCAAACTAACACTGCCCTCAAAGACCCCCATCAGCACAATCAGCTACTTCATCCACCGCAACCCCCAGCTCTTCCCCGACCCAAACACCTTCCGCCCCGAGCGCTGGATCGAAGCCGCCTCGCGGGGCGAGAATCTCACCAGGTATCTAGTCCCCTTCGCCAGGGGCAGCAGGATCTGTATCGGGATGAAGTGAGTGGGATCCATCCCATCAACTTTCTTGATGCCCTCCCTTCGTTGAAAAGCTGGTCCCATCCTATCCTACTTGGGAGTCAGGCCCAGAAGCCAAGCCAAGCAGTCCTTCCTCGCACACAGGGCTAACACAGATCCCGAAACTTCGTTTACTGGATAAAAAACAGTCTGGCCTACGCGGAATTGTACATGACTATTGCCTCGATCGTGAGGCGGTTCGATCTCGAGCTCTGCGATACGAACCCCGAGGATATGGAATTCGTCCGGGAGAAGATCCTGCAGCGGCCGGAAAAAGGGGTCTGGACGTTGAAGGCGAGGGTTGTGGGGGTTGTTATGGAGTGAAGGGGCTGAGGGTTTGTTTCGTGGGCTAGTGGTGGATTTGCCCGGGGGAGATTCAACTTCCTATTTCCTTGCTTATCAAGTATTTGATGATGTCCTGGCAGGCTCCAATTGAGCATGGTGATTGAATTTGTCACAATTAGTTTACACTCATCTACCCTACGAAGTCCGGAGACTGTGGGTGCGTATGCGTGACGACGTATTTATTATGGATTGGATGTAAACGAATCCTGGTAGGAACTCCTGACACCGGGCCCCATGATGCAAAAATGTTACAAAGACCAAGAGTAAGGAATCGTTCCGGTTCTCTCTAATATTGCCCTTCATGGCCTTTCTCCTTATTCCCACGAAGACAAATAAAGCAGGCGGCAAAGGTACTACCCCCATCGTTAAATAAGATTGAGCCAGATCAGACATAAATAAGATATACAAATACATTTCCTTTCGAGGTGCCTATCTCATCAATCCCTCTCCTTTTCCTACTGATCACTCAACTAAATTGACCCGAGTCCTCCGAAACTCACGCCTCGGGCCAATCCCAGCCGCAGAATCCGCATGATATCCTCACCCGTGACATCATCCGGTAGGCCAGCACGCCAATCCCAGCCTCGGTCGTGAGATGCAGCAGCGCCTTTCTCTGCGTTCAACCGGGGCACAAGCACACCCGAGCTACCGGCTGAGCCGGAGCCTGAGAGCGTGCGTGCTGATCCGACCATCTCGCTACCAATGAAGGAGAAGGTGCTAGAAGCATTGAGAGCGGAGACAGACTTTTTCAGCATGGCGCGCGGCGATGGAGGCAGGATGTAAGAGTCGGTTGATGAGGATGCATTTGCGTTCTTAGAGGATTGATAAGCAATCAAGGTGGAGCGGAAACATTCTTCGCACTGGGCGTAAACGCGAGGAGTGACAGTTTGGAGGTCCTCGATTGCGGAGAGAATGGTGAATTGCTGAGAGACTGAGAGGATGGGGGTTGGTTCTGAAGCCGGTCAGAGTCTACACAAAGTCTACAGCAACACGATTGTAAAATGGAAAGAACTCACGGTCAACAAACGAGAGGACCTCGCCCAATAGCGTCAAGAGGCCATCGACTTGGACGGCGGAGTCACGGTCTGGATCGTACAGGCCGCCATAGATACTGTCTGCAGCGCTGCTGATGACTGCCACAAGAGCCTGGGCTGCCGCACGCCGTCTAGCAAGAGGCTTGTAACGAGGTTGTTGACCTTCTTTCAGGTTCACGGCCTCGTCGCGAATTTCGTAGTAGCGGCGTAACGTTGCGTATCCAGAAAAGTAGTATTGCAGGATACTGGCTGCATCTTCGTCGGATCCTGCAATGGCAGCCAGACAACGACCAGGGTCTCGAATCAAAGACTCGAGCTGCTCGTCAAGGTCATTCAACGCAGGATAAGCGCGAGACTGCACAAGACTGTATGAAATGAGCAGGTCAACCACGGACTTGACCTTACGGCGGTTATGTGCGCGCGCATAGCACAGGAGAGCGAGACCGTAGTCCTCTGAATCAGCAACGGTAGCATCACCGAAACGCTGGTCGAATTAGCAGCTGGTTGATGAAACGGATAAAATAGGAGAACTAACCTCTGAAACCTTCCGCCCTTCATTGTCAAGATCAAGCTCGGAACAAAGCATAACCACCTTATCAACTTCCTCCGCCGTGTTGAGCGGCAATCTTTCCAGCAGTTCCGAAACACTCTTTTGTAACTTTCCCCTGTCGTCCAAGCGACTCAGAACCTCGAGAGCTACCTCCCAACCGTTGCGAGTACCATCTTGGCATTCAATTGACTGTCGTTCAAAAAGGCCAGATGCATAGGCACTGATTACATCGTTCTTGTTGACACGAGGGCCGGTCGTTTCAGTGCCCTGGCCTTGACCATACGACAAAACCATCAGATCGTCCTCGCTCAAGCCAGGCATAGGTTTCGATTTGGTGGCTCTAGGATTCAGCCAGCCCCCGATAGACGCGACCTCGACTACGGCACATGACACACACAGTGACCATGTCTGAAGCAGCTCAATCACGCCTTCCACGTTGCCCTCGAAGACAGAAGCCAGCCCAACTTCGAGACTGCTAAGTGAATTGACGCGGAAACTAGCATCATCGCCTTCCGCGCTTGTGGCGTGACCGAAAGCTAGATCAAGTCGACGCAAATAGGCATCTTGCGCACTGGTAGGAGACATGTTCCTTGCTGGGCGAGAGAATAAAGGGTTGAGGCTGGTGGGCGGAAGGTCACTAGGGACCTCGTCATCATCGTCACCACCCCACCACACGGTCATGCAGATGGTGGCTTCGAGCCAGTCTTGTGAGTTCTCCATGATGGCATCTTCGTCACCGAGCAGAATACGATACATGGACCGAAGATTTTGATAGATCGCCCAGGGTACTTTGCTTTCAGCCATGCGTGCGGATTGGGTGAAGGAAATCGTTTGCGCGGGAGCAGTAGCCTTCAGCCCAAAGTTGACAGCTTGGAAGCGGTTTTCTTGAACAGGGGGTTCTGGCGACGCCTTGTCCTCGCCTTCGGCGAAATCCTCCAGGTCTGTTACTGCCGCCAAAACCCGTCTTCTGAACAAAGCCCATTCGGTACCCTTGACATCCCAATCATCGCGTGAGATACCAGGACATGACTCGAGGATTTGAAGAGCCTTGTTGACGCATCGCTGAATATTCTGCAGCTGTGTTCCGCGATATCCCGCCTGTGGTAGGCCATCTTCTAATGCTGATCTTGCGTAGTTGAAATCGGCAGATCGCAAAAGTTCAACGGCTGTCGAGAGGCTACCCCGGAGAACAGCAGCATTGAGCAAGTCCCAGAAGCTTGATGATGCAGTAGGATTGGGTTCAAACCCCTTCAAGACTTGCAACTCCGACGCAGGAGGGATGTGGTTGGCATCGAGCCAGTCAATGAGAAGTCTGGGGATAGGTGTCGGTAATGTTGTGCGAGGACCACCCAGTAATAGATTGCGCGTTGCGAAGGGGTTTACCTGGCCGGGTCGATCAAATGGCCGAGGGGGGTGATGCAGCTGTAGAAGGAGTGAAGCCAAGAAACTTGCCTTGGCGATATTTGAAGCTTGCTCACCCGGGCCAATGCCGTCTGACTCTTGGTAGGGGCCATTCTGTCCTGTAGCTGTCTTCCACACATTTGCAAGTCGACTGCAAACATCCGAGAGGGCCGTGCGGAAATCTGTGCCATTGTTGTCGGCTTTCCTGACTTCGTCATACATGCGGCAAAGCTCGTCCTCTGTGCTCATGACAAAGTCACTCGACTCATCCACCGTAGTCAGCCGCGAGCGAGCTAAGTTGCGAACTATAGATGGCATTGCTGAGTCTTTCTTCGGTGACAACTTTCCCTTGCGCAGAGGCGCTTGACCCGCCCAGCGCTCATCGAGCTTCGGACGCTTGGCGCTGCCTGGGTTTGAGTAAATAGACTTGCGATGACCAAGCGAGACAGGCTGCGGAGCGATGGAGTCTCCGAGCTGAGAATCCAAGAAGCTGAAGCGGCCCCCAGCGTTCTTGTTCGCCTTACCCACACCCAGGCTGCTTCCCGTCTTGTCCACTACCTCATCCTCTGTCTCAGTCAGGATATCATCTCCTTCTGCATCCATCTGGGAATTCGCAAAGCCATTGGATTGCCCAAAGCGTGTGGATTCGTCAAAGCGAGAGCCATTTGTGATGCTGAACAGGGACTGCGACGCTGCAGAGGATTTCGTTGCGGTTGTTGTCGTTTTCTTGGGTAGGGGTGGCAGGTAATCGTTTGACATAATAGATGAGCCGAAGATGCTATCATTGTCATTGAGGTTCATGTGGCCCGACTTCGTGAAGAGGGAGCCGGAGCTCATGCGAGAGCTCCCAAAATCGGAAGGCCCGCCATGCGCCGCAAAGGAGTTGGATGCGGATGGTGGAGCCCCAGCCGGGGTGCTGGATAAACCGTCGAAAGGATCGCGGGATTTACCAGGCGTAGACGGCGGGCTAGACTGAAGGTGGAAATTCCAAGACATTGTGTGCTGATGGGGTGCGAGGACAGGGTCTTTAGGGAACGGTTACTGGGCGGGTGGATAGCGGAATTCACAGGAAAAATAGTTGTTAGAAAAGAGGTTATGATTGAATGGCCCCGATGCGGGGGTTATAGGCCGGCGAAGACGATGAACGATGGGCAAGAATGGATGAGAAGACGCGCAACAAGAGGTGGAGCGATTGTCAAGGCGCAACCAGCAAAATGGCGCCAAAGGAAACACTGAACATCGCCGACTTGCATGTTTCTTGCTCGTCGCTGGAGATGGAGCGAGACGCGCCGACCAAGGCGGTGAGGCCAAAAGTGACCGTCATGTGATAAGTCTGCCTCAGGTGTCATACACTTCGAGTCTATTCCCGAAATGGATGGCTCGTATTCGGCCATGACGATCTTCTATCTTCAAGGCTGTGAAGTACAGCCGTGTCCCAGTCTTCGAATCTGGATCCAATCAACTGTTTCAATAGCATGTCTGAAATGCACAGCCCAGACCCTGAGCATCCCACCTTGTCAGACCAACTAAGGGAGACCCTGAGATGCTTACCATCATTGGCGCGTGGGAGACTCACGCCCAAAGCATCTGACGCCCATCAAGTATAAAGAGCCTATTTTCCGGTTGCCCTCTTGAAATACAATCCTTCGAGCTATGGGTTTCCCGGTATCACACCATCATGGCTTCTAATGCACCCTCATTTCACTCTGATGCGTCCACCGAGTTTGACCCTGGCTCGGTGGACGCTAAGCTACCAAGTGATGATACTATCACCCGTCGCTACAAGATCTCCAATACAGCATGGCGGCACCATTACAACGTAAAACTTGCAGATGATCAACAAATATACAGGGTGCGCGTGTCCGAGTTTCGACCAAAGAAGCCAGACCTCACCTTCCATGCTGGGATGGATGACTCCGGTCCGATCGTGGCAGTCGCCAAGTTCCAACATTTTTCACGAGGTATTCACATTGGCCTAGGAGATCCTCAAGCCCCAAGCGAGATGGTGTGGGAGGATCTTACCGGCCAAAGCAAAAGCCACAGCAAATATCGCTGGGAAATGAAGGTCCCCACGAGCACTGGGCCACGGAGGCAGTCTTTCCTGTGGAAGCGGACACATCATGTCGGCCTCGAGGGTCACACTTGGACTCGGCTCAGCAACCGCAACTATAAGTTAGTTGAAGAGCAAAGCGGCAACATTCTGGCGATTTTCATGAGCAATGTGGCTTCGTACAAGGAAAGTGGCATGCTCCAGCTCTACGTGGATCATGGGCAACAATTTGACCTCATGGTCCTTGCGACAGTCCTTTCCTTGTATGAGAAAGCGAGACGACGTCGACAGAACAGCTCTACCACTGGAGCATGAGTTGAATGTGGCTGTGGGGACTGGTCGGTCCCTGTGGGGGATGAAAGGGGCTATCCTGGGTTATCTCTTCAAACACACTCTTCGAGACTCTGTGATCTTTTTTGAGATATCTTCGCTGTGGGAAATCACTACCATCTCATTTTAATGTCCATGAAATTGTAGAGAAATTGTAGCTAGGTGGAAAATCGAATGGACTGTTCACTGGTAAACTTGCGGTTGATGACATAATGTGGTACAAAATGGCTTCTCCAGCGGGGCTTGACAAGAAATGCTTTCCCGACGGCGTGAAACTTGGACTTTTCAGATGAGAGACCGATGCAATACTTAGTCAAGTCTGCACTCACTCAGGCACTCTCACCCTATGACTTATTCTTGAACTCTTCAGGAGTCAGGCGTGGCCAAAGGAAATGGCACTCCGACGCCCTCATCGCAAGTCCCGACACGGCTGCCTCGAATGTAAGCAAAGACGAGTGAAATGCGACGAGTTGCGGCCGGTCTGCTCGAACTGCTCGAAACGCATGTCGTCTTGCAGGTATGACTCTGCGACTTCATTACTCTGGACCAACGATGAGTTGCGGCCTCGCCCTCGGCCGAACAAGTCAGGCTCTGAAGGGCCGCGGGAGTCCGAATCCACCTTTTCAACGACCGCCAATTCGCTCCGCATTCTGGGGAAATTGAACGGCGACGACGAGCCGCAATCAGTCGCGCGTCTCAACCTGAGCGACCTGGAGTTGATGATGCACTGGTGCAACTCAACCTACAAAGCACTTTCCCGGCACGGGAAAACAGATGCTATCTGGCAGGCCCGTGTTCCTGAGGAGGCTTTATCCCACCCCTTTCTCATGCACGGCTTGTTGGCCCTGTCGGCGATCCACTTAGCGCGGACGAGAGATGAAGTCAAGCGCGCGGCCTACGTGAGCGTTGCCGTGGCGCATGAGAACCAGGCTCTGGCCTTCTTCCGCGAGCAGTTGAGCGACATCAACGCATCGAATGCCAAAGCCATGTTCGCTTTTGCTAGCGTTGTCGTGGTCTACACTTTTGGCTTTCTTCACCCCTCACATGCCCCCGGAACGGACGATCCGTGGGCGTGCATCAATGGCATCCTGCAGGTATTTACATTGACGCGCGGCGTACAACAGATTCTGAACGAGGCTACGTCGACGATACGAGATAGTGACTGGGGGGCCCTCTTTCAGCTGGATGACTACGATGATGTGCTTCCCGATGATGAGCGGTCCGCTTTGGACCGACTGCACGAGGTGAACCACGTCTGCAAAGGCCAGGATCCGGCTCATGACTCGATCACCTACGAGCATGCAATTGAGAATCTGGCAGACCTGATGGCGGCGGCTCATCAAGGTGTGACCTCTGTAAGGCAGGCCTGCCGGTGGGCGATTAGGCTCAAGGCCGAATTCGTACAGCTGCTTCAGGAACATCAGCCACTGGCGCTTGTCATTGTGGCCTATTACTGCGCAATCCTTCATCGGCTTCGGGATATATGGTTTGTGGATGATTGGGGTATCAGGGTCCTCAAGGCTATATGGCAGGTTTTGGATGACCAATGGCGACCGTTGCTCGATCTACCCATGGTAGGGACCTTTGGGGATAATTCCCACTGAGCGATCGCCTAGCGAGCAACTTAGCAATTGGCATGAGCGAATCGCCAGAGCCTTGAATATTTAAACCTCTCTTCTACCTCGCAGGGCGTCGTCGAATCTAGTTGGTGTGAGTACTATAGTAGTGATTCTCCAATCGACAAATGGAACCTCACAAGGATCGGTCGAACCACGGGTACACTGTACCCACGGAAGTGCTACTAGATTCCCAATCTTTGGATAGGGACGAATGTGACATTTCTGTCAATAATGGACCTTGATGCCCAGAGAGACGAAACGATCTTCTCCAAAATCAGTTCTTTGCTGCCTATATCTCGGTTACTTCGTTTAGCTCGTATTCATATCCACATTGGGTAATAGCCCTGGTCTACTACTAAAGTACTGTCTATCTATACCTCTACAATTTACTATCCGGCTCTCCATTTTCCAACACATACCTGTACCTCGCTCTCCCGGCATCCATATCTCTCAACGCGACGTTCACCTCTTCCATCGGCCGCTTCTCAATCCAAGGCAACACGTTCTTCTGCGCCGCCAACTCCAGCATGGCCCGGATATCCTCGCGCGAACCGATATTCGACCCGGCCAGCTTGATGCCCTTCTGAATGAACGACCAAGCCGGCAACCGGGGCAGAGGTCTCTCGGGGGCACCCACCTGGACGAACGTGCCCCCGACCCGCAGCAGCCTCAGATACCGCGCCAGCGGCATGTCATCCCCGTCCACCGTACAGATAATCAAGTCCAGGGTCCTCTCGTACTTCTTCGCCCAGCCCTCCTCCTCGCCCGTGGCGATGAACGCATCCGCGCCGAGCCCCTCGACCGCATCCTGCCGCTTGGCCGAGGACCGCGAGATGGCGACCACCCGCTCACAGCCCATGGCCTTCGCAAACAGCACCCCCAGGTGGCCCAGCCCACCGATGCCCACGACGCCGACGCGCTTCCCCGCGCCCGCGCCGTACTTCCTCAGCGGCGTGAAGACGGTCGCCCCCGCGCAGAGCAGCGGCGCCGCATGCGCCGAGGACAACCCCTCGGGGATCCGGAACACGAACTGGGCCGGCCCGCGCCAGGTGCTCGCGAACCCGCCCATGGTCTTGACGGCGGTCTTCTGCTGGAAGGTCGTCGAGTCCCAGAAGCGGTCGTTGTAGGTGCCGGTGATGCGCGGGCAGTAGTTCTCTTGGTTCGTGCTGCAGGCGTCGCAGTCGGCGCGCAGGCACGCCAGGATCTGCGCGCCGACGCCCACGCGGTCGCCGATCTGGAAGGCCGAATATGGCGGCGGGAGGGAGGGCACCGAGGCCCCGAGGCGCGTGATCGTGCCCACGATCTCGTGGCCCACGACGCAGGGGTAGTCGGACGGTCCCCAGCCCGAGCGGAGGGTGTGCACGTCCGTGCCGCAGATCCCGCAGTGGGTGACTTGGATTTCGAGGTCGGTGGGGTCGAAGGGTTTGGCTGTGAAGGTGGTGAAGGTGAGGGGCTCGGTGGGCGAATGCGAGACCCAGCCGTGGAATTGGTCGGGTTGCGGCGGCATCTCGAGAGGGATTGGAGACGCGGGTTTACTTGGGGGAATTGGGGAGGGGGGTTCTGTGCGGAAAATAAAAGAGAATCCAAACACGATGAACAGCACCGCAGTCTTCTTCTTTTGAATTGTTTTAAGAGGAGGGAACGTTCAATCACACACCGCGCAAGGATGAATTGCGGAGATGAAGCGGATTCCCGATGGGGCAAAAGAGCGGAGGGGCCGAGAATGCCTAGGTTCATCCCACCCCCACTCTCTAATGCGACAACTCGACCATCGAGTTTGATATTGCAAGGCTCACAATATACTCCGTACAGTCTGCGTTCCTAGTCTGTCTTTCTGGGTTGCTATACCAGCAGCATCGCTGACTCAAGAGCCATACAATAATGCTCAGGTCAATATCCTTATGATAGCTGCCGTTCAAATCAATCTCTTCGGATTCAATTTGAAATGAAGACTCTCGCTATCTGTCTCTCGTATTAATCCTGAGCCAGGAACTCCAGTACTAAGCTCAGAACCAACGTGGTAGACTATCTACAGTTTGGAAGTGGTCAAAATATGAATCCAAGGGTATAACAACCGATCCTACCACCTTCTCTTCAAACCCCTCTCTCCTTACACCATTTCTCCACCTCCTTGGCCAACTTCTCTCTCTGGTCCCTCACCATTTCCATCATCGGCTCGACCTGCTTCATATATGCCTCGGCAGCATACCCGGTTTGACCATCCGGCCCGACAGCCAAATGTCCTTCTTTCTGCGGCGCAAGGTAAGTATCATAGATCGAGATCATCAGGTCCATCACCGCGGATAACTGGTTGGGAAGCCACTACATATCGACCCAGAAGCGTGTTTAGTATCTATCTCATGGGGCGAAAGACTGCCCTCAAGGGTGAGAAGAATAACTTACCGTGACGATAGGACTACCACCGGTAGCGGTAGGGTGTGGGGTGCGGCGGATGATATACTCTCGGGCAAAAAGCCAGTGTCTCCATCGGAAGCTCCGAACGTGGTTCAGAGTTTTAAGGAAGAGGATTGCGGTTTCGGTGTCCTGGACGGCGAAGTTGCGAGTGCCGACTTCTTCGGATTTGGAATTCATGTAAGCGAGAAATTCACGGTGGGGTAGGGGGCGGTAGGCACGGAACTCGTGCAGGATCTTGGTGAGCGGGGTGGAGGGCATGGGGATCTGGCAGAGGTGGTCGAGGAGAGGGATCTGTTTGTTGTGGATGGTCAGATCGGCGTCTAGAAGGGGTAGTCTTGAGACGAAATCTTACCATGCTGTCGTTCGCACCGCTCTCGCCGCGGAAGAATAGGGGCTGGTTGTCAAGAATTCCGTCGTAGATGACACCGTTCGGGAACATGGATTGCGAGGTGATTCCGAAGATGAAGACACGGAACGAGAGGTAGTCCTGGGGCTTGGAGTTGGCCCACATGTCTAAATGCGGATTGTTAGTGAGGAGGAGTCTTTGAGCAACAGGAGGGAATGGGGAACGCTTGCCTTCCATCGAGGCTTCGATCTTCTCCATGGAAGCTAGAATCTCTCTAAATCCGTCGTTGACCACCGAACGATCACCCTGCTCGACGTTGTCGACCACCTTGAGTGCTCCGCTGATAAGACCATTGGATTCTTTCACCATGTCCACGTGGGTTAAGATAAAGCCGGCTTCGGAGCTCTTGGGGTCCAGACCCTTCTCGAAGGCGCGGACAAGACGCAAGTTTGGATAGTCCAGACCTTTAGAGGGGTCTGCGAGGGTGTAGTTAAATAGTGAGTATGCAGCAGCATAGGACATGAAAGGAGGAATGTTGAGGCTGGCATCAAATTAGTATAGACGGTCGAAGCTCACTAGCTTAAGCGTCGACTCACATCTTGGCGCAATGATACATTGGGCGAGCCACAGATTTGGGCAGAATATCCCGTCCGAGTCCATAACCCTGGTCGGGGTTTTTACACCAGTTCTCCCAGCATGGCTCAAGAAGATACGACGAGGCGAGGAAAGAGTAGTCACGGAATGCAGCGGTGATCATGTAGAGATCCGGTGCACTATCAGGCGTGACCAGCTTATCGATCTCCTCGGTGAGATCAGGAAGCTCGGCCAGAACAGCCGGGCCTAGCTCATATGTCGCAAGGAGACCTGGAGTACCATCCTCCTTAACGACAGGGAGGCGCTCAAGCAGTGACATCAAAGGCTGGAAGATAGATGGGAGCTTGGTGGGAGAGATAAGAAAGGGAAGGAAGCCGGTAGAGGTGGTGATAGTGAAGGGGTCCAAGGACCGAGGAAGGGTGGAAGGATCATCATGGATATGAGGGAAGCGATCCAAGGTACTGTTCGGGAGGGGAACTCTAGATGGAGACATGATGAAGTTATCTATATAAGGGAGTGAATAGAGGTATGATGGGATGCTGCGAGACGGTAAGAGGGTGCGAGAAGATACGAGAGAGTCTAAGGTCTCGAGTAAAAGAATGAAGAGGAGAGAGCAGAAGAGAGAGAAAAGGAAGAAGGAGAAGAATAGGAGGCAGCCAGGTGAATGTGGAATAGGGAACCAAGTAACTGGGCAAGAAGGGAACACAGAAAGTTAAAACCTTGCTCTTTAGATAGTGAACTCAGAGTTCTTGTGCCTGGGAATTGGGTGGGATTGCAGGCGATTCTTATAATGCTTTGAGGCCGGTATCAATTCCGGCCTCGACAGCGCCAGTACGAAACAGGTAGGGAAACTGCGTGGAGACCTTAGTCTCAATCATGATAACAAGGTAGTGCTAGATCTGGGCATCTGGGAAGTATTATATGACAATTTTGTACGAGTCTCTATGCCTATAAACTCTCCCCTGGGTCAATACATCAGTGTAGACGCCTGCTCGACGACTCTATACAAACTCTTGGCAGATCAGGGCACGCAGGGATCACGAGGACGCACTATTCCTTTTCCAGCATTGTATACCAATGTGTTTAGCTATCTATCCTCAGCTGTGGCTGGTGCGGGAGAACTGATACATTGCTACTGACTGTCTCTAGCATATATCTGACTGTATCCTACACAATCTTCGCTCCAATTTGCCGGTTTGAAGGACGTGGTGTCCCAAACTCACAACCACCTACATCATGACCTTAACTATACTTCACCAATTGCCAAGGCTTCAGTCATGGGGTCCTCGCCGCCATTGGTCACATCAGCCGGATTTGGGCAGATTAGCCTTTCGTAGTTGCATGAGGCCGGAATTGAGCCGGCCTCCGTTTGTAGCCGGCCTTCTTTATATCAGCGGCCTATCTTTCAATTCATGGGGCATCTCGGAAGAACCACCAACCCGAGCAAAAATGGTTTCAATTTCTTTCAAGAACTGATAAGGACTAACTTATAGTTCGTGCTTCAACACATCATACATCTACGTAATACATTGTCGTCTCACAAACATTACCACACAGCCACCCATGCTTTCCGTCTGTCGCTTAAGGTCACGGCCCAACGGCCAGGCTGCTCACCACCCACCGCGCCCATATTGATAGTTCTGCTGCTGAGATAGCTTCACGTAGTCGTTCTCATCACTCATTCATGCCCTCCATAGCATTGATGCGATGTGAATCATAATCTAGCAACATGCTAGTTACATAGCAGCGTGAGCTTGCCAATTAGAGTGCCCTCAATTCTACTCATCAGCGTCTGTCTCCGCAAGGATAGGGGTGTATGTTCTTGTCTATTGTACATGGGTATATTTTATAGCCGGGAAGCTGTCATTCTGGTGAGGTTGAAAGCCATGGCTGAGATGTTGGATTAGAGATGATTTCTTCTGTAATTGGCTAAAACATACCAACGCCCGAGCCTTCACGTCACACGCCGTCAACCAGCAGAGGAAGAGTTGCCTCAGAATCCTTGTCCTTGTCCTTGACTTCTTTGCGTTCCGCTCGGTTCGTCTAAGCTTGGTGAGACTTTTTGGAGTTTCCGGTATTCCTCTTCAAGAGCCCTTTGCATCTCGAAGTCAGCCTGTCGTTCCTGTCGAATGCGCTGTTTTTCCATGTCAAGTTCCACCGCCTTGTGCATTGACTAGAGGCCGAGTAATTGAGAAGTTAGCATCTTACTGGGTAAATGGGGGTCAAAGTATTAACGGACCGCCTTCTCTTGTTCCTGTGCCCAATGCACAAAGTAGACAATTCCAGCTGTGCCTAGGCCTGTGGCGGCCAATGTCAATTTGGAAGCCCGAGACATGTCCGCTGGTAATGTATTGAATATTTAAAACTGTCGCAAAAGAAGAAGTGGCGTAACTCCCTATCAAGAGGCTAAGTCAATCATGATCCCAGTCTCGTGTCGGCGATAATCGACGATGGCGGTGTTTCGTGGCAGAATCCCCGACCGCCCACGGGGGTAATGCGTGGCGTCGGGGAGATCGGACGGCGTATCACAAGCTCCACAACTCCACCTTATCAAGATATCGCCTTCAACTCAAGTCGTATCCCTTCAAGCATATTCTCGCGTCCCAGAGGACTTACTTACAACATGGTGAGCGCTAGGAGGCGAGTCCGTTTTTGAAGGAAAGGCGCTAACGCTGTCCCCGATAGTCCGCTCAGAACTCCGCAGGCATTCAGACCCTCCTCGATGTAGGTCATTCCGACTCTGTTCCTACGAAGACATACAATTGACATCAGAATTAAGGCCGAGAGAGAGGCCCAGAAGATTGTCCAGCAAGGTAAAGCTCATCTATGCTACTACCGGATACCATGACTGTATGCTGACGTGTCGCATCTTACAGCTAGAGAATGTACTGTCCCGGCCCCTCACCAATGTTAACGGCTCTCTCATTGACACGTTCCATTCAGACCGTACCAAGCGGATAAGAGACGCAAAGGCTGAAGCCCAGAAGGAGATCGAAGAGTACCGCAAGCAGAAGGAGGACGAATTCAAGAAGTTCGAGGCTGAGGTATTTATGGCATTACAGTGGCTCCTCGATCTAGGGGTAGCTCGCAATCACTGTTCAACAAACGAGCTAACGCTTTCGTGCTTGCTGTAGCACTCGAGCGGGTACAAGAAGGCTGAGGAGGATGCGAACAAAGAGGCAGAAGTCAAGCTCCAGGAGATCAAGGATGCCGGGAACGACAAGGGCAGCAAGGTGGTGGAGGATCTTATCCATGCACTCATCGACGTAAAGCCTGAGGCTTCGGAGAAAATCGTGGTCAAGGCATAGATCTGTTGTTTCCTGCAGCAGCGTGAGGGTTCATCAATTTTGGGTTCTTTATTTCCAGCCTGTGAATATTATTTAGCTGTTTGATCATACAACTGCCAATATGTACGGAGTGCGTCCTTTCTAGATTGTCTGCAGCTAGTGGAGGGGTGGGCAATGTCCTTCAGTAGTGTGGGGATGCCATGCCTGCTTGGTGCATGCGTGAGACCCCTTACCGTTGAGATCCTTTGCTTTCCATCGGACATTTGTCGAGGAAAAGGGGGTATCAAAAAGGATTTATCCCATTATTAAAAACAAGAGGTTGTTACAAGGAGTATTAACAGCTCTAGGGGATTTTCAGTACATGTTAATCACTCAAAATATATCTTGAGGTACAGTGCACGGTATGCTCGGGCATATTCATGCCTCAGGCATAGGAAGACCCGAATAGGCATTTGTTGCGTCATAAGTTCCTCCTCGGCGCGAGGCCACCCGTGATGTTTTGTTTGTATGTATACTTTCGCTTTTCCTCCCAGATCCATTTGCATGGAGAGCACGCAGGGTATAGTACAAAATGAGATCTGCTGTCGCTCAATTGCGCACAGTAAGAAGTCTCTCCCTTTGCCACAAGAGGACTGTCTTCCGGTACAACAATTTGAGGCGCTGTCCCAGCTCACGCGGGTTTCGTTCCTCTACGCATACAGCGTCCGATGTTCTTGATCCACGTTTGGAAGACCTGGGCAAAGTCATCAGAGATGAGTATGCTGCTATCAGAGATCAATATGGTGAGTCGGATGGCATTTAGTAGACCCAATCATGGCAGATCCTTACAGAGTTGTCAGCGTGTGGAAATTGACCTGATATTCACCAGATGCCCCGAAGCACCCTGTCGTGCTTGCGCATGGGCTTCTCGGCTTTGACACGCTTCGCCTTGCCGGCCCTTATCTCCCCGGTGTTCAATACTGGCGTGGGATCGAGGATGCACTATCGATGAAGGGGGTACAGGTCATCACTGCAACAGTACCTCCATCGGCGTCCATTGAAATGCGCGCCGAAGAATTGGCAAAAGACATCGTCGCCGGAGCACGTGGCAAGGAAGTGAATATCATCGCGTAGGCTCTCTACTTTCCAAGATTGATTTTATTTCTTTGATATCAGATCTAATATTGAACAGTCATAGTATGGTAAGCCTGGTCGCCTCAATCACCGTTATCGGAACTCTTTGTTTACATTGCTGTACAGGGGTAGGTAATTTGAATGCATCTAAGCGTCCGTTACGATCACATCCTGATTGACGACGAAGAGGCCTTGATTCACGATATATGATTACACATCTCAGACCAACGGATTTCAAAGTCAAATCCTTGACCACTATAGCCACGCCCCATAGAGGTATGTATGAGATAACAAAGTAATCATCTTACTAACTAGCTTGGCAGGCTCTGCAGTCGCAGACTATGTGCTCAAGCAGATTGGCGGTGTGTTAACTCACTGCCCCGGCAGAAGAAGAAGAAGCCGAAACTCATGACTCACAGATGACCGCTTGGCTCAGTTGTACTATGCGCTTGAGAGACTAGGAATAGATACAGGGGCATTCGCTCAACTGACCCGCGACTACATGCAAAACACCTTCAATCCTACTACTCCAGATGTGGAGGATGTTCGGTAAGTGGTCTGCCCTGTGAGTGGTGTCGCGAGACTGAGTTCTTGCAGGTATTTCTCCTATGGAGCATCGATGCAGCCAAGCTTCTGGTCTGTCTTCCGCCTATCGCATCGCCTCTTACAGCAGGTCGAAGGGTACAATGACGGACTTGTCAGCGTTGCGAGCAGCAAGTGGGGAGGAGAAGGGGGCTACAAGGGCACCCTCGAAGGGGTGAGCCACCTGGACCTGATAAACTGGACCAACCGATTAAAATGGCTGGCCGGTGAAATAACGGGCAACAGGTTAAGGTACGTTGAATGAGTTAGCGATGCGAAGATGGTCTTCTTCTCTCGCTTTGCCTGTTCTTATGCTCCTGTTGGACATCGGCTGATGCTCTGCGTAGATTCAACGCAATTGCGTTTTACCTTGATATTGCAGGTACGACAAAGGGGCCCTGGCGTCACGCCACACCCAGCCTTGTCGAACCATTGCGGAGAGTCTGACTAATGAGATCAATACTCTAGACATGCTTGCGAAGGAGGGTCTCTGATGATGGCGCGGTGCAGTAACCTCTGTCTGAAATCTTGGTGCCTAGAGTGCATTGGGCTAGTTCTTTTTTGTTCTGTGATTTGACAGCATACCTATATTCCCAGCGATACCCCTTGAGGACACTGCTTTAGATTCTAGGTGTGGAATGCGATACTAAGTTGTGACGTGCAGTGCCGTCTATGACAGATTGTAGACTCGTGTTCGATTGGCAGAGAGAAGACCAACAAAGGTGGCGGTGCACCCAGTCGGACTGGGCGGAGTGGCTGAGTCCCACCCACTGCACTCGGCTCGGCGCATCCAGACTCGGGCAGCCAGCCAAGCCAGCCCTGTGAGAACAATTAATTACTTGCTCGTCGACCCCACGGGAGCAGTTCTGCTTCCCCTGGGCTTAACGTCATATCCTGTAACGTTAAGTGACTGTAGTTCTGCCGAACTCCCGTGCTTCTTTTTTCTTCCCCCCCACCACCCCCTCCTCCCCTTTGTCCATTATTATCTCTCCGCCTGCGTGATTTTGATTATCTAGACGTATATGCAGCCAGTTCAACTGGTGCTTGCTCTTGTCTAGACTTTGCATCAATCATAAAAACGGTCTTGGTGAAGAGTGATTGTGCGTCTCAGGTGCCGGCCATCCTCATCCTCATCCGTACATATACGGCTTACGCACGGTTCGCCATGTCCGTAACAATCCACCTGGACCGGCCTCACAAGCACTTCACTAACCTCGACGTTCTCGTTGGGAAAGTGGTGCTCACCCTACCCTCCGAAGCTGCTATAGGAGGGATACAAGTGAAGCTTGAGGGCGAGAGTCGTACACGTCTTGCAGGTCCGCGATATCCGCATCATGAGCAGTCGGACAAAAAGCGGACAGAGATCGAGGTTCACAAGGTGCGTCGCTCCACAGTCTCCCCAACCCCACCATGTAGATCACTCACTGGCAAGGGCCAGGTGGAATGCCCCTCCCTATTCAAGCTGTTACTAAGAACCCTTACAGCTCCTGTATAAGGTTGTTACCGTCTTTCCCACCCCCGAAGTTTTCAACTCGAAGACCCCCGAAAGGGTCTACACGTTCGCCAAAGGGACCTACGAATATCCATTCAAGTTCAAGGTAATTTTGAATTTGGTTTCTCTGCCATGTTCAGCGTAGACTGATTTCGGATCCTAGTTCCCGTTCAACAATGCCTGCAATTTCCAAAATAGCATGCTCACCAACCTCAACATCACCGGCCTCAAGGTGGAGGTGGCGAAGGATACTCATCGCCATGTGAAGAAAACGCTTCCACCGTCTCTCAGTGGGTTTCCCGGAATGGCCGATATCAAGTACTACGTGAAAGCCACGGTCATCCGTCCACAATTCTACAAGGAGAATATCAGAGGGGTATGTTTTCCCTCTTGTCCGCTGTGACCCCTTCTTGTCTCAATTGCATGAGACTAACGGCCGCTGTAAGATCACCAACCTGAATTTTCTACCAATCGAGCCCCCGCGAACAGGGAATCCAAGCGAAGAGACGTACGCCAGACGCCAACATCAATTCTCGGATCTCCCTCCCGTCTCCAAGAAAAAAGGTCTTTTTCAGAAAATGTCAAGCAGTTCTCTCCGAGAAAGCGCCAGCAACGGCCCTCGTGTGTCCGCAGATTTGAGATTACCCAACCCTTCGATACTCACCTGTAATGAACCTATACCGATGCGAATCATTGTCAAGAAATTGTCTGAATCATACGAAACCATCTTCTTGCAGATGTTACAAGTTGAACTAATTTCATATACACACATTCTCGCCCATGACCTCAAGCGGACAGAGAGTGGCACCTGGGTCATGTTGAGCTGCAGCAACATGGCTATACCTCTAGGAAGAGGGGGAGACCCTGCTGAGACCGAATGGACCTTGGATGCTAACATGTGGAACCGCATACCGCTCCCCAGCACTGTAGCTCCGTCATTTGAAACGTGCAATGTCTCCAGAACCTACGAACTTGAAGTTCGTGTGGGTCTCACGCATGGATCAGTCGGAAACATGAAAGTATGTTTGCCTCATCAGTTCTTCATTTCTAGAAACGACTGCTCACTGCTAGTAGCCTCAGCTTATAGTACTTCCGTTGCGCATGCCTGTCAAAGTCTTCTCCGGCATTGCACCTCCACAAGCACTCTTGGAAGCCATAGCTGCAAATGGGAACGTTAAGCCGACTGTGTCCACCTCAACCCGGCCTTCAGGTGACGGTCTGCCTCCACCAATGCCTCCTCGGCCCACCCGGCCACCCGCGCCTAGCAACCCAGAAGATGGCTACGACGATGCACCTCCGAGCTACGAAGACGCGATGGCTGATACTCTCAGCCCAATTGATGGCCCTCGTAGAGAGTATAACCCACCAAGCGCCTCCTCCGAAAGATCGTTTGAATCTGGCGCTGATGCAAGATCTCCAGTTGGAAAGGCACCTGAGGCATCGGCACTGTACGGCAATGAGGGGGCCAATTCCTCTGCGGAAACCCTCGATATGCTGCCTTCAACCCCTCCAGAGTCCCGGTCAGGATCACCCGTCTCTCTTGTTTCCCGCCAGCAAAGCGTACTCAAAATACACAAGGCCATTCCTCTAGAGGAGAGCCCTCCGCAATACCAGGCAACAGCGGACAGTCAACCCCAGACATCTAGCAGCCAGGCCGATCACAGACCATTCCGACCAGAGCACCGCACCATGAATCTGGGAGTACCTAATCGGAAGCCAGTTCCTCGTAGTCCAAATCGGGATGTCTAAGGTCCAGTGTGGCTCTACTCCCAACAAGAGTATCATGCTATCATGTCTCTTCAATCGATCTCGGAGTCATTCTTGACTCTTTGAAAATAACTTTTGAGCTCGCAGGATGAATTCAGTCCACTACGTATCTCTAATACTCAGCGATTACACTCTGTTTGCAGCTTCTTTGGTGCCAAATCTCTGAACGTGCAACCAACACATACTACCTGCTATACATTGGAAGCTATACAATGCGAATACCCCCTATTTTTTACAAGCATAGATATGTATTCTGTATAGAAGACTCAAAAATACAATTCTGTAAGACCAGTGTTGGTAGAGTACTAGTAGCAGTAGTACTGTTTGGTGTTGCGAACCGTGGGTGGCCGACTACGCGGACCAAAGAGGCTTAGCGGGAAACAGAAGCTTTGGCACTGCATCGGTCACCGTTCGGTCTTTCCTTCCCCGTGCTTTTCGTCGGTTTCCGCGCTGCACTCTCAACATCTCATCATGACTGTTTTCTCCTGTCAATAATATGTCCTTCTCTCCTGCGCGTACGGTTCTCTGAGTATTCTTGACTTTGAATGGATAGACGATCCGTGCTCCATCTCGAAGGTGTTAATAGCAATTGAGCTCCTTACCCAAAACTGCTCAACCGAGCAACGCGCTGCGGCAATCATATCGAATCTAATTCATCTCAACCGCCTCAGCAAAGTCCTATACTAATGAGCTGCCCCTGGTCGCATTGATTTGGAAGTAGCAGCGGAATTCTCTAGCATTCCATTATGCGTCTCCACTTAACAATCCAGCGTCACGGCTTGCCCGTGACGCGCATTCTTTGGACGACGTCTCCTCACTCTCTATTCGGTCCCAATGCGTCGAATGGCTCGCCCATGATTCCCGCTGCTGCGTCTGCAATTACTTCGACGCGTTTACCTAATGCGCTATACTCAAATGGTGGATACACGTTTGCACAGCTACTGGAAGATGTGAACGAGGTGATTCCGTTGGAGACGGAATCGGTCCAGTTTGACGAAGAGTGCAGTGGACAGTGGGGTCTTGAAGATTATGTGGTCGAAGTGGGTGGCTCAGAGTGCCTACATTTTATGGAGGTGGACGGCCTATTGCGCGACGGCGATGAGGTCCTGTATGTGCTATCCCATCCATGTTGACCCTCTCATGGTTTCAACTATGTAGCCACTAACCGACGCGTCCTTACATGATAGAATCCGTGCGCTGCAGATTGAAGATCTTCGGGCCAGGCGGCTTTCCGGTCGCCATCAGATCTCCGGAGATGGCAAACACCTCATCGATGGCGTTCCCTTCGGAAAGCCTTTCCTGAAAAGACCTACTTCGTCCAGGCCTGCAATCACGATTCCACCTAGAAAAAAACGACGGACTACAATCGCAGGGTGGGATTACGGGGTACGCTACGATGATGATGCGGATTGGGAACCACCCAAGCGGCTTCTTTCCAACGTGGAAGTCGATGCACTCAGGAACAGTGGTAATTCCGAAGGGGAAAAGGCGGAAGGGCATGGAACTACGTTTCAGGATGACTTCCAGGATTATCATGAACCTGAGGATGATGATGATGGAACAGTCATCCGCCACCCCGTGGACCAGGAATCAGAGAGTGATTCTGACATGTCTGATACCCGAGAGGGCGAACTTGAGGAGGAGTTGAAGGCTCTCGCAGAGGATTCAGAAGCCCCTCCCATCACCAAACCTGAAGACCAGGTCAAGCAACAGACTGAGTCTGCGCCCCGTGCTCTCCGCTCCGGGCCTAGGACGCCCTCGACAACACCGAAAAGAGATGCACCTAAGGTTATTCAAAGTACCTCAACCCCGGCTGACTCACGGACGGATGCTAAGGTGGTTCAATTTGAGGACGAGAAGCCAGCCTTGAAGCCCGAAAGCATACTTGTGAGCAAGGCGAAGTCACCTTCCGTGAGTTCGGCTGGCTCTGTCGCAGACGACAGCGACAGCAGCTCACTCTCGACCGACTCTAGTGGTGTGAGTGACTCCAGCTCGGATCAAGACTCGTCTTCGGAATCAGGTCATTCGCTATCGGACTCAGATGACTCAGATGATTCAAATGAGTCTGATGATTCCGATGATTCCGATGATTCCGATGATTCAGATGATTCAGATGATTCAGATGATGAGTCTACTTCGGAGTCTGATGATTCAAGCGCATCAGAATCGGAAGACGAGGATATTTCCGACTCAGACACTAGCGTTGAGGCCCCCATCAAAAATGCTCCGCCCGGAGCAGGATCGTTGCGGACCAAAAAGAGTAATCAACGTAACAAGATGCGTCGCCGACTGGCAAAGCTCAAAGAACTTGGTGCTTTACCCGCGCAAGCTGATTTCGCGGCCCTGCGGGAATGGGAGGACGTGCATGGGTGCGAGTATTATATCCCCGAAACCAAGCCTGAGCCCAAATCCGAAACCAAATCCGGAGCCAAAGCTGAAGTCAACTCTAAAACCCGAGGCGACAAGAAGGAGCAAGAACGCGCAGAATTCGAAGCAAGACGCCAGAAACTGCTCCAGGATCTGGCAGCTGGCGGCGTCGACGTGTCAGTCACTCCGGAGACGGAGAATGTGCCGCCCCATGATGAGAACAAGCGGAATACACGTTCTGCAAGGGACGTCTCTGTGAATGGTAACACAGACAGCGATTCGTCTAAGAGGCGTACTTTGGATGTTGCTAGCTCTCGGCGAATGCTGTTTGGCTCTCTTGGAGTGAGAGCTCCGCGCAACAAGGAAGACGAAGATGCGACGCGGAGGAAGCTTGCTGCAAACATCACCCATATTCCATCTCGCAAGTCCGTAAGCCAAGACGCAGAGACTGGGCATGAAAGTGACGTGGAGCATAACTGGGAGGAAAGGTTGACCATCAGAGCTACCGAATGTATCTACGACGATATTGAGCTGACGGCGCCACCTTTCCCATTTGAGCAGCGCTGGGATCACGATGCCAGCAACATTATCAGGCAACGCAAAGGCCGGGGCAAGAAGAGGAAGCGGCGCCAACAGCTTCAAGTCTACGACGCGGGGGAGGAAGATTATGGCAATTGGGAGGATAGTTACTTTGACGGAGATGACCAGCTCAATTATGATGACACGGAGCAGCTTAATGGGGAGCACCAAGCAGAATATGAGGCTGAGGAGCCAGCTGAGGATCTGCCTGTCCTGCCCGCTAATCACCTCACCCTTCCAGATCTCTCCGAGGATCACCTACAGCGGGCGTCTGTAATTGCTTTCAAGCAATTGGACCTCTCTAAAGCCACAAACTGGCAGCCCACCGTGTCTGAGTATCGGGTGGCTGAGATACACGATGTTTACGAGGACAATATTCTCAAGATCAGGCTCGCCAAGCGTGACAGAAGACAAATCGCCGATGTCGACCCGGATGAGGTGGGAAACGATAAACCATATTACACCGGATTTGAAATGCCTGGTCTCGAAGATGATGCGGCGGAGGACGATGGCTTCCGCGAGCTTTCCTTTGCCGACTTCATTGAACCCAAGCTTCTCCGAGCTGCGCCCGCTGCAGGAACTGGGGATGCTGAGAAACCCAGCATGTCAGTACATTAATTTCCTTCACTCCTCTGGCGTATTGAAGCGCTCACCCGACCAAGCTCCCACGCAGCAGAGGAGTCCACCACGCCGAAGATCACGACTCCGGCTCGAATTGAGGCCACGGCCGCGCGCGATGGCGACGAAGATGGTCAGCGACCAGCCCCCGCTGCGGGAGATAAGCCGGCTGACTCGGGACCTAATAAGCCTATCCTCCAGGAGATCGTAAACTCCTCGAAGAGTCTTGCAGGCGATTCCAGCCCCGTTCTGTCCCCCCAGTTTCATGGATTCCAGTCCCCACCCCCAACCGGTTGCGCGAAAAAGGCCTCGGGCTCGGCATCCAACCTCATCGCCGACGCCGAACCAATCCCCGATGGCGGTGCTGACCGTCAACCCGACGTGCTTCTGCCTCCTGACAAGAACTCTCCCAATACTCTGGACTCCCCGCAGCGCCCTGACGGCGTCAACCTCGGTCACGCTGCAGATGCGTCTAATGACGATCTCCAGATGATCAGTAGCCCGCTCAGTGTGTTGTCCTTCAATCAGCTGATGAACCGGTATTTCCCAGCCAAGCGGGAGAGGAGTGATACTCCACCTTCCAACCAGCAAGCCCAGGGAGAAGAGACCCGCCCGTCCTCACGTTCGTCGATCAGTAGCATGGTTCCGAACCCGTTTTTTGAGATTGACAGAGCTCGAGAAGAAGGTCAGCAGGAGCTCTCGTCGCAGCCATCGGAAGGCATTGGGGTTACTGCGGGTGATACCACACTAGATCTCCAATCTTTGATGGGATCGTCTTCCACGCCACCGTCAGGCCAACGATCCGTGCAGAAGAATTCGAAGTGGAAGGGCACGGAGGACTCTTCCCTGATTAGTGTTATTCCCGAGAGCATGATTCCACCGGTGGTGCCTCAACCCAACTCCCCAGGAACCCCAGGATCTGAGCCCATTGTGGTGGATTTGACACAGTCCAGTCCCCCGGTGTCGCCCGGGGGCAGTGACAGGGACTTCGGCCGATCGCAGCGGCTGCCGCAAGGACCTGGGTGGGTGCAGAAACACGTACCTCCCACGCAACGCCGTACCCGACAGTCGCTGGCCAGGCTGCGGGGGAAGTCGCGGGAGGGATTAGGCTTGGAGTCGAATCCATCGCGTTGAAGACGGGGAGAGCACGGTAGCGAAGATGTGATGCAAGAGACAAGCAGATGGCCAGAGGGTGGTGCATTCATGCTTGAATGACAATGGAATGAAAGAGTAGAATAATGGGCGTCATGATTGATTTTTTTTCCCATACTTTCCCTTAAAATATGTACATACATACATACATACATACATACCTACCTACCTACCTACCTACATAGATACACCAGTGTGATACCTTTTCTAATGCTTGGTCCTTCTTCTCAAGACGAATGTTTGGCACAAGCTCGAGTGTATGAGGTAACGCTACAGTCGAGGCACTCAGGCACTTACTCAGGCAACGAGACTGTGGGGAAGCTCCGAAGTCTGACAACGTCTAGAAGCTGATTGGTGGAGGAGTGGGGCATGGCTGGCGACGTCATCGAGCTGGGATTCCCAATAGGGAAAGCACGATGGATTGGCACTGCACTGCACTGCACTGGGCACTGCATGGATGCAGTGCAGGCCATCCGCCTTGATCGTTCCTTCCTTCCTCAGCCTCATCCGTCGGATTCTTTTTTCTGACGGAGGTTGAATTTCTTGTTGGCCGGGCTTCAATTTCATCATTCTTCCGCCATCATCCGATCTGGACCTGGTCGAATAACATTATCATCTCGATAGAATACAAGCAAGTTACAAATACATCAATGCTGCATCAACCTACTTTTTTTACTCTAAATATTATTAGTGCTATTGATGTTCAAGTCAATTGACAAAGGTAACTTAATTTACTTCCCCTTCCCCTCCCCCTCCAATTAATCAATCATCATTCATCACCCAATGCGTCTTCCCCTCCTTGTGGCTCGTTCTCCCACCATCACCTCCTCTTCCTCTTCCTCTTCCTCTTCCTCCTTCTCCATCCTCCGTCATACGAATCTAGTTCAACTTCCATCCACTGCTGCTCCTGCTCATCGCCGTTATTTAACTATCTTATCTTCCCCTTCATCATCATCATCATCTTCTTCTTCTCACCGTCCTACACTCTGTCGCTGCGGTTGCCGTAACATCACTTCCTGTCGCTGCCACTGCTGTGCTCATCCTTCCTCGATATCTGCCCGCAATATTCCAGCTAATCCCCACCTGTGTCCCTCTTCTTCTCCCTTGACCCCTCCGCTTGTTCGCTCATTCTCAACCACTAGACCCGCCAAGATGGTCAAGCAATATAAGCTCAAGAACGTCTCGTCCTTCGCGGATGTCAAGGAATTGGACAAGGTTGAATGTGAGGTCGAAGGCATCGAGGAGGGCAAGGTGCTCCTGGTTCGTCATGATGGCCAGGTTCATGCTATGACCCCCAAATGTACCCATTACGGTGCACCCTTGAAACTCGGTGTGGTGGCCCCGGAGGGCCGCATCACTTGCCCCTGGCACGGAGGTAAGCTCGTTTGGCCCCCAGTGTCTGGACTCTCGTCATTAATCGTCACTCATAGCCTGCTTCAATGTCGTCACTGGTGATGTCGAGGATGCTCCGGCCCCGAATGCCCTCAAGAAATTCGAGATCTTTGAACAGAATGGTGCCGTTTACATCAACGCAGAGGAGTCCGACATCAAGGCTGCTCAGCGGGATCCTGCAATGAAGTGTAAATCATCTGACTCGGAGAGGCTGGTCGTCGTTGGCGGGTATGTGATCTCCGATGCGAGTACAAAGACGGATACTAATGCAGGGTGCGAGCAACAGTGGAAGTGGTACTTTCGGTGTGGTCCAGGCGATCCGTGAACTGAAGTACACTGGTGCCGTGACTGTGATCAGTCGGGAACCCAATCTCATTATTGATCGGACCAAGCTGTCCAAGGCGTTGATCGCGGACCCCGAGAAGATTCAGTGGCGACCCGAGGAGTGGTACAAGGAGGCCTCCATTGAATTTGCCCACGATGACGTGACTGGTGTTGACTTTGCAAAGAAGACAGTTTCCACCAAGTCGGGCAAGTCGTACCCTTACACCAAACTAGTCCTGGCTACCGGAGGCGTGCCGCGCACGCTTCCCTTGGAAGGATTCAAGGATCTGGGTAACATCTTCGTGCTTCGCACCATTCCCGATGTGCAGGCTATTCACCAGGCGCTGGGCGAGCAGAAGAACAAAAAGGTTGTCGTCATCGGCAGCTCTTTCATTGGTATGGAGGTGGGCAACTGCCTCGCGAAAGAAAACGAAGTCACCATCGTCGGCATGGAGAAAGCCCCCATGGAGCGGGTTATGGGTGAACAGGTTGGCCGCATATTCCAAAAGAATCTGGAGAAAGCAGGTGTCAAGTTCAAGCTGGACGTGGGCGTCTCCAAAGCGACACCCTCGAGCTCTGACTCTAGCAAGGTTGGGGCGGTTCATCTCGATGATGGCACCGAGCTGCAAGCCGATCTGGTGATCCTCGGTGTTGGCGTGCGTCCCGCGACCGACTTCCTCAATGACAACCCAGCGGTCACTCTCGAGAAGGATGGATCTATCAAGACGGACGAGCACTTCGCCGTCAAGGGACTGAACAACGACGTCTTTGCCATTGGCGATATCGCCACCTACCCATACCACGGACCCGGTGCTGACCAGGAGAACGGCAGCTACACCCGGATCGAGCACTGGAATGTAGCTCAGAACGCCGGTCGTGGCGTAGCCCGTGCCATCGTTCACAGCCTGAAAGCTGGGTCACTGCAGTCCCTGAAGCCTAAGGCATTCATTCCGATCTTCTGGAGTGCTCTGGGCGCTCAGTTGCGGTACTGCGGTAGCACAGTGAACGGGTGGGACGATTTGATCCTGCAGGGAGAGCCGGAGAACGGGAAATTCGCGGCCTACTACACCAAGGGAGAGACGGTAGTGGCCGTGGCGACGATGGGCATGGATCCGATCATGGTCAAGTGTGCGGAATTGATGCGGCGGAAGAATATGCCGACCAAGTCGCAGATCCAGGGTGGGGCGGACGTCTTGGCTGTCGATGTTCCTTCTTCAGTGAGGATTTAAGGATTGAATCTAGTACTCATAGTCAATAGTCTAATAATACCAGCTCTTTTGCAAGGAGACAATTTATAGGAGGCTTGAGTAATGGCGGTCTTTGAGATATGCTGGAACCCCTGCAACTCTGGTTAAGCCGGAGAACTAGTCCTGTCGGAGATATATATCAATGCAGAGCGCATGGGCGGCATTTCTCACACAACCAGAGGCCCAGTTTGTCCATGCGATTTTGGCTCTACCGAAGGGACTTCAAACCCATTTAAATCTATTGGACGACTAAGAAAATCTACCGACGGGCTTTGAGCCCTACACCGCTCCTCGAGTCACCTACCACCAACACACGATCCGCAGCAAGTGATTGATTCCACACTGATCAGAAAAAAACGTAATTTTGATTCATCCATCTAACGCCGGGCAAGAGATACAGCAAAGGTGAGCATCAAGGCAAGCAGATGAAGTATATAACGTGAACAGAGAAAGCCAACAGAAAAAGAAACAGACCACAATATTAACATGATTCCATTTCTGGCCCGGTGGGAGCCAAAAGGAAGCGGTGCGTTTGCATATGGAGCCGAGCTCGGATTCGACTCCTTCGTTTTTGTTTTTTCTACCACGAATTATGCTGCAGCCCCTCGTTGGATACACTCACTCACACACACACATGCAAAGAGGAAGCAAACGGGACGACAATCATTGAGGGAAGTCACCTAGTCCTTGGACTTTTTCTCCTTCTTCTCCTTCTTTTCCTTTTTAACGGAGGAGGAGGAGGACTTGCTCTTCTTCTCCTTCTTGGGCTTGGTTTTTGTGGGTGTAGCAGCAGTATCTTCGGCCTTTTTGGCATCATCGTCGACGACGACGTCGTCGTCCCGGAGCTCATCCACCCGATCCGCGGGAGCGGCGCTGAGCGGGACGGTGAACGAGACCGAGGGCGGCGCGTCGACGCTCGCCTGGCGGCGCGGGGTGCCCATGCCACTACCGCCCAGCCCGGTGGAGAGGATCCCGTTCCGCTCGTCCTCCAGCACCCGCGCTTCCTCCTCGGAACTGAGCATCGTGCCCTCGATGCTGATGAACCCCCGGTCCCGTTCCGAGCCCGGGATCACGTCGATGTCGACCACCCGGAACTTGATCGTGCCACGCACGCGGTGGCCCGACACCGACTGGAAGTAGCCCTCTGCCCCGTCATCGTCGTCTTCGTTGGTGTTGTTGAGGTCGTTGGTGGTGGAGATGTCCGGGTTCGAGTTGGAGGGGTTGAGCGGGTTGGCGTCGGAGGCGAGGGTGACGGGGCTGAAGTGTTCGAGTTCCGGGTCGAATTGGGGCTTGGGATCGGATTCCGAGGTGTCCGAGTCGGAGTCGTCTGAGTTGGTGGTGGATGAGTTGGTTTCGTCGTCTTTGGGGGTGTTCTTCGCGGTTGTGGTAGTGGTGGTGGTGGTGGACTCGTCCTCGTGTTCGTCGCCTGGAGGAATCCACTTCCAGTTGGAGGGGAGGCGTTTCCGTTCGATACCCACGGAGAAGAGGTTCAGGGCGATCGCGCCCAGGAACCCCTCCGACTGTACGTTGACCCACCCCTCCAGGAGCTGACCGCGCTGCGGGCGGAAGACCAGGAAGGTCGCCGTGAGGTAGACGTAGAGGACTCCGTATTCGCCGGCGGTGCGCGCCAGGGTGAGGGGTTGCGGGTGGTCTTCGGTGGCCGCGCCCGCCGCGGCGGACTCCGGGCTGTTGGGCGGCGTGCTGGAGATCGTCACGTTGGAGTAGGCCAGCACGATACCCTCGAGCGGCGGGTAGTAGGTCAGGAGCAGCGGGGACAGGTGCTCCGCCATCAGCGAGGCCTGCGCGTGGGTCGGAGAGATGGAGATGGGCGATAGCGGGAGGTAGAGGGTTGCGGTGGTGAGGGTGTAGGGGGAACTTTCGGCAGGCGTAGTGGTTGTGGACTTCTTTTGACTCTTGATTGTTGACTTCTTGCTGCTGCTGCTGCTACTACTGCTGCTTTTCTTCTCGCGAATGGGCATCGGGGTCGCTTCTTCGTCGGTGACCGTGTGCTTGCGCTTT